ACCAAGTGGTAATAGCCCCACTAGTGTGGCACGGACTCTCACTCCCGATTTATGAGAGTCCGTGCCACACCAGTGGGGCTTAAGTGGTAATTGCCCCTTAACAATACATTTAATAAACAGTTATCCACAGCACGTCTAGTATTTCTGGATTTCAAGGTGAAATTGAGAGGACAAGATGGAATATCTGTATCGGTTGGCAGATTTCTTCCTGGAATTTGATGAAAACAAGTCAGCACTTTTTACAGCATGCAAATTAGAATAACAGTGTGGATAAGTTGGCCGGAATATTTTTGATGAAAAAAAACACTTGGTTGAATTCTCAGAGAGGCAATATTTTCTTGTTAAGGGGCAGGGGTAGTCTAGCATTATTGGATTAATTATGTGACTAGTATATGCTTCGCAGGTGGGATTTGTACTTGCCTTATTCAGAAAAGATTTTTAGAAGTGAATGGAATCAGGAAGATAATTAGGAGGAATTCTGGAAGATAATTCTGTTAAGAAAAGAAATAATCTGCATCACAAGAAAATGACTGGGGGCATTTTTGTTACACAATGACCTTCCGTGATTTATCATGTTCTGTCGATTGTATTTTTGTGTGTGGTTTGATATATCAGTAATTGTTGAATACAGAACGAGAGTGAGAACTAGTTTGCTTTAATTTGTGTCTGTACACTTTGTTTTGGTTCCCCTCTGAGAAGTGAATCTAAAATATGACTATGAGGGCTGGGTTTACTCTTCGGGGTGGGGATCATAACAAATCGAGAAACAAATGAACAAACCGTACACGGACCAATTCTAAATATGAAGTAATATTTTATGAAAAAGTTTCAACTGAAATGCAAATCACGTGACATGAATAGGTGCAGTTTTTCTCCCTAGGTTTCATACTCATTTTTTCTGATTTCCAAGACTCGGCACTCATCCACCCGACCGACTTTATATTAGGAGCACATTAGTCCATCAGCCCGAGAGGGTGTAACATAAAAATCGTCATTGTGACGTCAGTGGGGGTCATGTGACATGAGATTAACAGGTGCAAACCCCAATTCTCCATGTCTTCAGAAGTAGAAGTCCGATTTGGTTGAAATTTTTCAAATTTCTAGAAGGGAAGGGCATGTAGTTGATAAAATCAACTGAAGATGACATTATCAGCTGACAAGTCACGTGACATTAAATATCTAGCTTATTTGGGGGGTGAAAGGGGGCATGTGTCCCCCATGCCCCTGTTAACTACTAGAGATGGGTCAAAGTGATCACGAATTACCTAATGGGTAGCAAAGATTGTTTCAAACAAAAATCACCTGGCATTTGTTTAGGCACTAGACCAACTGCAGAACCCGGCAACAGGTGGCTAGGATAGGGACCAGCAATGCAGTCAGTCAGTTTTTTCCTGTTATAAAGCCTTCTGTTGGGGGGGGATTATACCTCCCCCCATCCCCAGGATTTATGCCCATGTACTTGGGGAGGAAAAAGTTGCAGGACACCAAGACGGAACGACGGCTGGGGATTCACCACATAATACTGGTCTCTTATTCTTTCTCTACACTTTATTGTCTTTTGCATGTATAAAATTAGAGCTGAAAAATTCAGTTCAAACAACCTTCACAATGCAATATTAAAATTCATTGCTTTCTTCAAAGTCTGTCTACTAAGAATAGAAAAACTATTTTGTCAAAAACGTATCTACAGTATAGTATTCCATTATTTACGTGGATGAGTGATTATAAGATGCTGCTTTACATTCATCACACCCTGTAAATAAGCTAGAACCTGAATGCACTAAACGCAATATATTTTGTGTGTGATGAGTTGAATACATGAATGCATGTACATCAAACTGTATCTAGTCCTCAAATTTCAAAAAAGGAAAAATCTGGTTAAAAAGAAGGTCATCACTAAATTAAGCGAAAACATTCAGGTGCATACTACAAATACTACTCATGTACTGGTCTACTTATTACTTCTTCAATATACATCTTTAAAGCACTATTTATTTAGCATTTGTATCACAGCTGAGTCTAATTGTACAAAGGTAACTATATATGTGGGGTCATGCCCAATGTTGGGGGGGGGAGGGTTGTGGGGCAGGCCTCACCTTGCCAGCAGCTGCCATTGCCCTACCAACCATAAGCATCATAGTTATCGATTGTTCTTGTATGGAACTCCAAATGCCACAAGCTAGCAACAAGGCTGTGTGGGGTCCCATTTTTTCTTGTCCTTGTCACACATGACATACAATTTTGTACAGTTAAAGCACATTCTTTCATTTCCTCAAGAGATTAAGTAAAGCAAATTACCTGCGTGTTGAACAGATATAGTTTGAAGTCAATATTGACAATATTTTCATGTGAAATTACATAGGTCAGGTGTAACAACGTCACTAAAAATGTCACAAGTTTTGACCCCAAATTTATAGGATAGCCCACAAATACAAACCACCTCTAATATCAAATTGAAACAATCTTAACTGATAATTTACTCGAATTCAAATGTGAGACCAGAGCCTGCCATCTTCTCCCTGTAAAGTGCATCAAATCTCTCATTCTGGGCCACAGTCAAGTAGTTTTTCCAGTCACCGACAACGCCTGAGGAAATGAAAAGAATGGTTTAAATGAAAGCAATTACAGTTGGAAATCATAAAAGGCCTGGTAGAAGATTCTCACACAGGTACATGTATATTGTGCTAACACTAGCATGCCTACGACTGTGGAAACACATTCAGAATGATCCATTCATCACACAAATCATGCTTCTGTACTCTATACCTGTAGCAATGAAAGTGCTGTGCATATAGCAAAGAACAACATGCATAGAAGCTGGTATTGCATGCATGTATGCATGTGGGTGTGCACATTACGAAGTTTATCAACTGTTTGTGACAGGTTCATTTTGCAAAGGGGTGGTTTGTAAAAGTGGTAATCAACTCTCAACAAATTAATACTCAAATAGTAGTGTGTTTTAATTCCATTTAGATTACATTTTCAATTCAAGGATGGGTTCGGGTCATGGGAGATCAATTAATTTTGGATTTTTTTGAGGTACCCGCTGCTACATCTGACTCGAACTAGCCAGCCAACACCGGCAAACTCGGTGGTTGAGTGGTTAAGATGTCTGCACTAGTAAGCAGAAGGCTGTGGGTTCGAGTCCCACCCGAGTATGCTTGTGGTTTTTTTCACAAGCCTTCCTGGGCAAACGCCGAGTATACAGTGTTATAACACATGTCAGGCAAAAAGTCCAAAATCAATTATCAATTCAATCAAGCAGAATCTGTGGGAAAGGTGATTCATACAGCATTCTATTGCTGAGGCTGGCCTCTGGATCGGGAAAAATAACATGATCCACACTCAAAAACGTTCAATATATTGTATCGGTAGAGTGGACCAAGGACAGGTCTTGTCATTGGAAGCACGTGCATAAGTACCCTCTATTTCTTGATTTGCCAAGCCAAGGGCAAAAGGATACAAAAAGGCTACAATGCTCAGCTCACGGTGCACTGGGTTGAATTAAGCCTGAAAAGTTTGTAAATACTCAGTCATGCTACATAAGGTGACTTACATTGTGTTGTGTTATTGTGTTATTCAGTAGAGGCATAAAGATAATAATTGCAGGAGCTCTACTCTTAGAAAAACCACAGAAATATTAGTCTAATTTGACTTTTCAAAAATCTTCCTGTAAGATTCTTCCCCTAAAAAAGGTTTTTGCAGGTTTTTGGCCATCTAATACAGCAACTGCAAAACTCTGATCATTGTATTAAAAATAACCGTACATACACTTATTTATTTACAGGTACAAATCATTTTTGTACCTGTAGGTATTGATGTTCATAGTCTGTTTAATCAACTTTCCTTTCTGTCTCTGAATTTGCTTTGGAATGTTTGCAGGGCCACATGGGAAACCAGTTTTAACCTATTTGGACATACTCCAGGTAAAGAAAATATGAAAAAAATAAACAAGATAAATGGTTTCTGTTTGATGACATTTCAACATAATTTATTTCTTTTCCCTTTTTATCAGGGGCAGTTATCTGCCTGATCCTAAGTTTATGGTCCAACCTTAGTCAACTGAAGTGGCAAGTTGTAAAAATTTAAATCTAAAACATGCATTCAGATTATTTCTGTCTTATCCAAACCTCAATAGCATTTGGACATCAAGAAAAGTTTCTATTTCCTAGGATTAAAGCAAGTGTATATTGTATAATCCAGCTTTAATGACTTTCAAGAAGCAAATACAACTTTTCCCAGACAAGTTAGGAAAATGTTTACATGATTTAATAAGAGAATGAACTTTCAAAATCTGTTTCTATTAAATATTATCAATTTATTTTCCAGAGGGTACATCATTTGGTTCATGACTTGTAAAAAAAAAATCAGGGTACAATTTCAATTTCCTAAATGTGCAGTGAGTTTAGGATATTGACATGTCATTTTAGCTAAAAATGAAGGCACATCTGCAATCCTGTGTTCTTTTCAGTTTACCGTCTATCTATTTTGCTGACTGTGTAGCCAGTTTCCTGCAAAGAGTAACTGAGCACTTGACTAGTAACATAGTGAGGAATGTTTGATTGACACATTAACTAAACCAGGTGGTGAAGTCTTTTGAAACATACAAACTACATATAGTGTAACTAAGCCTGTAAAACCATAAGCGTTTTTGTTCAGGTTTTGCCACAAACACATTGTACAGCCAAGTGTCACAGTTTACATAAGCTTCCTAAATTCTCTTGTAATGGCTGCTAGAGGGAGATAGAGATGATTGGTTTTATTTGGGTCAATTAAGTCATTTTAATATTCATTTACCTTTATTGCATACAAGCTTTTGTGTACAGGGTGACCCTCCCCAAAAAAGGAAAGCCAAAAGTAACAATTTTTTTTCTCCTCAAATAACTATCAGATATTATGTTTTTTTTCATCAAATTAAAGTTCAGCATATTATCTTGTCACAGCTGAAAATTTCATTAAAATCTGATGATGCATAATGAAACATACCTCATTTTTTGTTTTGTCCAAGGGAAGCTTATAACGTTAATCTTGCAAGTGCAAGAAATTGTGTGATAATCCAAAAATTATCACACAACTGGTGGGGTTTTATACTTCTTTCAATTTTTTCTAGCTTTTGACTTGATGAAACTGATGCTTATTTAAAAAAAACAGTAGTGAATGAATTTTGCATTTTAGCATTTATTAAGCATGTTTGAGGCTTTTTCATTATAACAGAACCCTTTTTAGTTCAGTATCTTTATTTTGTTTTTGACGATTTTTGCCTTTATATCTCCCAAACACAAAAATAAACTTCTTGGGAAAAAGCTATTAAAGACCTCAAACATAGCACTTGAACGTTCATTGTACATTTGTCACCAGTCGACCTATTTCTCTTATGGTCAACAGGTCCCTCAACTACACATCTTTCAGTCTTTCTTGTATACACACTTTTCCATTAGACTTTGGCCTCGATAGAATTGGATTCTTATAATAGAGCTCATCCAACATTGTTAGTGCGCCCTCTAGTGATAGCTTTCTGTAAGTACATTCCATGTGGCGCCATGCAAATTTAACCTGTGTACTTATAGATAGCATTGCGAATGCCCTTCCTCATCTTGTCATACAAATTGCGTGTGTTATTCGGCGTTTTATTTTTAGCGACACTGACGCACTATTATGCATTGGCCACATGTGCACGCATAGGGAGTCTTGCGAACGCCCTTCTGCGTTTTGTCACCCAAATTTTGTGTATTGTTTAGCTTTTATCTTAGCGACGCTGATCCACTTTTATGCATTAGCTGGACAGTAGTCTTCTTGGCTCAAGAATGCGCATTTTTCAGAGAGAACACCTCCGAACTCTGAGGAGAACACATATCTCTCCTGACTTTTCCTGTTTTGCCTGCATCACACACTATTGGTATTGCCACGTATTCACACTCGTGAATACTGTTGTAAAACATTTTTGATTTTCAGTCATCGTGGGTCCAGTGGTGCTGGATTGTTGGCATCAGGAGGGGCACAGATTGTGGAAGGCTGCGTGTTTCATTATCATATGCCTCTACCTCCTTCCACTTTGGAGTCTTGATTGCCACTAAGTCTTGGAAATCTCTCAGTTTCAGATACTGCCACAATTGACTGTCATTTTTATTGATCTGTACAAACCTGTATCATAACTTGCAAGTAATCAGTCTTGTATAGACAGAAATTGTACATTTTGTTTGAATCTATTTTATAGTAAAATCCTTTTCTGTAATTCTGGTTGCTCACTGGGTCTTCCCTCTCTGTAGCGCTGTTTCCTATCTTATCTCCCATCTAATCCCACTTGGTTACACTTTTAAAACAACAGGCTGTACATACAGTGAGTCTTAAAAGAAGGAAACCAAGATAAATTTGTTTGTTTCTTGAATGTGACTGATTATTTTGGTAAATGGTAACCATCATCTGTTTCATTATGATGTCCTCTTTTGTTCGACACCAAGAAATCCAAAATTCCATCATGGATGACTGAGCATGAAGTGGTTTAATGGACCAAGTCAGAAATGGCTTTGTACCAAATACATGAAGCTGTTTTGCTGCTGAATTAATATTGTTCAGAGATGCCTTTTTGTCAGAATTACGCAATGTTTGATGGGAATCTCCAAAATGCAAGTTACCCATTTCAAAGCGATGAGAACAAGGGCATATTGGGGACAAGCATTGGAAGAAATGGTGGGCATGTTGAAGACACCGGGGCTAGGCTGCTTCAAGAATAAGCCCCTAACTGTGGTTGTCTTTGAATTAATGATTTTGGTAGTGTACTTAATGCTTCATGCTGTGCAAACGTGTGATGCATCTGGTGCAAAGCCATTTCTGACACGATCCATTAAACAACTTTATGCTGTGTCATGCTGTTATGTGTGATGGAAATGAGGATTTCTTGATATTATGAGAAAAAGGACATCATACATACTGAAACAGATTAATTCACCAAAATACTGGTAATTAGTCACTTTCAAGAAACAGAGTTAATTAATCTCAGTTTCCTTTTTTAAGACACCCTGTACAAATTCAAAGCCTAACCACATACATGTACTTGTAATCATTGCAATGAAATGTTATGCACATTCATTTATTGGAACGATGCAAAATGAAACTGAAAAACTAGTTACTACAAAAATGAAAGCAGAATATACATGTATAGTTAGTCTCAAATCAGCGCCAAACTAAATGATTGACAAATTCAAATGCACACTTTCCAAAATCTATACATACACATATTTCATGGTAGCATTACTGAATGTGAAATACACATCCACCAAATTTAATCAGCATAAAAAGTGCTAAACTTTTCTGACTGACTACAGTGTCGTCATCAGAACAACTAATATTTGGTGGTTAAATAAGGAGTGTGACTGAGCAGCGGCTGCCTCAACTACCAACTTACAGTAGCCTTGGGCCAAGACGGCAGAACTCGATAACGGACTCGATCGCACCGATTTCTATTGTGCCCTCTCGTGATTTCATTTCACCAATTGACAGCTCCTTCTACTGTCTTGGAAAATCTCTTACAAACCGAGGTGTGGCCTTTGAATGCAAAATAGTAGTTTAATATGAATATTCCTAAGATGCAAAATAGGATGCAAAACAGGCCGTGGGAGCATTGTAGCGGGTTTGTATCAATAGCGCCAGCTTGTTGTTTCTTCAGTTCTGTTATATAAAGTCTTTCAAAGGCGTATTTCTTCGTTTCTTGTTCCAATGCATCGACTGTGGCAATTATCAACGGTGACTGTATTAGTACTTTAGTAGTATGTTTTGCGTCACATAGTAATGTACATTACATCGCGTTGTATGGTCGACGATGTACAGTGTAGGGTACTGTTACAGAGGTCATGCGTTGCAGGTCATTGATCCATATTTATCACATACAGATTCAACCGAAATTTCCTAGGCGCTGATTAGTTCCTCTGGAAATCCGGAGGAAAACTAAAGAAAAAGTTCAACAGTTTGTAGGAGATTCCCAAGAGGGTAGAACGAGCCGTTGATAGGTGAAATGAAGTCACGAGAGGGTGCAAAAGAAATCAGTGTGCTCGGCATATGCTCGATTGAGTCTGCTATCAAGTTCTGCTGTCTTGGCCCAAGACTACTACATGTACCAACTCAACCAACCTTTCCGAAGGAACTTGCCCAGGTTCTCCTCGCCTTTGCCAGCAAAAGCTGCCATCACTCCCTGGTCATCTGCCTTCTTGTAGGATTTCTTCATGTGCTCCATGCTGCTATTTTGTACAACACGATCTACAGCTTCCTCTGATAACGCACAACCAATGTGATTGGCTATAGCTATCACTGCTGATTTTGGATCCTGCGGAGTGAGAATGTAGCAGCACTAATGTCTGTCCTTTGTAACTTAACTTGTTACAGTATGTGTATTTGAAAGAAATTAAAGTCAGGAATTTCATGATCTATGGCCCAGTGTCTTGACTAGAACACAGATACTGACTACTTCTCAAGTCAGACTTTGGTCACATTTTGGTGAATTCAGGTCCTCGTGAACAGAGGACTCACACTTACAACTACAGTATCTACATCACAGTAATGAAAAATCAAATGATCTTTATATTCCAACGAATTACACTTTAAGAAATTTGTTTATTTGGATTTGGCCATACACAGACTGTTATGAGCCACACTCACAGTTCTTTTACAGGTTTAAGAGCTAGCTTCTAAATATGCAACATTTGGGGGGGAAAAGTAGGTTTTGAAGGAAATAAAGCCAGTTTATCTAAGATCAAGGCCGAAACAAGACCAAACCATGATCACTAATGTTGAGAGGTATATATACTGGATTTTTCCCAGGGGTCACAGAGCATTTTCGAAATGAGTGGATTCAACTTAGACTTTGGTTTTGCTGGTTCCAGCAATGTTGAAGCAGCGTTTGAAACCACATGTTCAAGTCTAAGTCAAATCCACTCATTTCAAAAATGCTCAGTCTAAAGATCCATCACATTAACACAATGAACATTTGATTTAAAAAACTCAAAGGAAAAATATTTCTGTGAGAAACACTATGTATTTCTTCAAATATAAATAGCAGAAATGGCAAGTGTCATAATGAAGTATATATATACAACTTCTGGATGTACTCATTCTCTGTGGTAACAAATGGAAAATTGCTTTCATCAGGAGAGTCTAGGTAAATATCAGACTGGAAACAGAAGAAAAAAGACCTCTACAAACCCTCTTCATGTCCTCGTACTTCAAGAAGAGGAAGTTGCTGTCGTGGCGGTGTTTCCAGTAATCCAAGCTGAAGTCAAAAAAACTGCCATTCAGCACTGTGGAAAGAATCGACACATTAGATGTTTTAGAAAATATGTCTCTAAGGCTAACATTATCCTCATAGTGTTATTATAAATTGAACTGTTTGAACATGCATTGGAACAACACAAAATCAACTAACTCAATTCATGTAGGGTTCAGGGATGCTGGAAAAATAAATACACCAAAAATAAAACAATGCAGAAACAATCTATGAGGAGGAAAGTACCTTGACTTGAATAATACATCATGGAAAAAACTGACCGCTTAAGTACCAGTAATTGTTTTATTAAACACATTTCATTAACCCTATTCAAACTAGGCTTTTCAGGTGTAGGCTTTCAAAATAGGGTCCATTTGATCCCCCCAAGATCTCAGCGAATGTCCGATTGAAATGAAATTTTTACAGAGATAGAATAACTTATTAACAACATAGCTTTATAAATAATTCAGTGATATCATGTTCATTACTATAATTATGTACATATTATTTAGCAAAGTATACATATCTTTAATCAATTTTGGAAAAGGGTATAAAGAAAACAGTATCCAACTGATTTAAATAAAAACCAGACATGGCTCATTATGTAAATAAGATATATACAGTGTTTCCTTGGATATTTTATTTTAAATTTGCATATTTATGTGAAAACTTTTCATATACTAAAATCATACATTGTGTAAGCATTGTTGTGTATTTTATTGTTTAACTGTTGTCACATACTGTTTACTCTGGCATCAGTATTAAATATGATATTCACAATGAGATGGAAAACACACAAATTGATAGAAAAAGAAGGTATTTCAACAAGTTAGCATGACATACCCTTTCATACATATACATGTACGTGTACAAGCGTATGAAAAAATTCAGTTTTGGGACTACCCTTGACCCTTAATTGTCATGAAATATAATTATCTTTGCCTGATTTTATTCAAATTTGGAATAAAAAGTTGTACAAGACTTTAAAGAAAAAAGTCATAAAAGGTCAATTTGATATTTGCAGTTGTTGGGGAGCAGCAGCCAAATTTTCATGGGGGAAGGGGTCAAACTGACACTTCTCCCAGTCTGTATATGGTTAAGTGATCATCAAATGAATTAAATGACCTTGGAGGATGCCGATTATGTCTCAAAATACATGTATATCTCTGTCTCTGTCTGTCTCAAAAGACAAAGGACTGCGTCTGAATTGTTAGTTCACTGCTGTGACTGTGGAGTCCAATTCTGGAATGGCAGTCTATATCGCAGTTACTGGAAGTGTAGGCTGTTGGTAGCAGGGGTGCTGGAGCTACTTTTGCTCTCTGTTGCTCCTTTCTGTCGTGCCACTGCTGTTCCCTCCTGGCCTCTGCTCCCTTCACCCCTGTCTGCACCACATGGTGCCAGTTGCTGCAGTCATCTGCAGCTTCTTTTAGGGTTGATCTCGGTGGACTTTTTGTCTCTTTTGCATTTGTCCTTGTAGCACAGCCTTGGATGACCAACTGGTCTGGAGTCTGATGCGAGCTTGCCGTAGAGGACATCCTTTGGCAGACATTCATCCTCAATGTGCCGAACGTGGCAGAGCCAACACAGGTGTCTCTCACACAGTAATGCGAACATGATTGGGATGTTTGCTCGCTGAAGGACATCCTTGTTGGGTACTCTGTCCTGCCGGGATATGACTAAGATGAGTCACAGGCAATGCAGGTGGAAACTGTTGAGGCAGCGTTCCTGTCGGGCATAAGCTGTCCAGGTTTTGCTGCCATAGAGCAGGGTGCTCAGCACGCAGGCATTATACACCGTGATCTTGGTGTCTGTTGTCAGCTGGTTGTTCTCCCATTCTTGTGGACAGTATGGACATGGCTGATGCTGCTTTGCTGATGCACTTGTTGATCTCAGCCTTATGGGACAGGTTGCTGGAGTAAAGTCCTCAACCACGTCTAGGATGTAGTCCTCGATGGAGATGCTTGGCACTTGGCTGACATCCTGACCCAACACTTTCGTATTCTTCAGGCTGGTGGTTAAGCCAACTTCTCTGCAGGCATGAGTCAGGCAGCTGATGAGCCTTTGCAGTCCTTCTTGTGTGTGGGAAGGCAGGACAGCATCATTGGCAAAAAGCATCTCTTAAAACAGAAGCTAGCACACTTTTGTCTTGTCTTGCAGGCAGAACAGGTTGAAAAGCGTGCAGTCAGATCATGTGTGGAGGAACACTCCATCTTCTGATGCACTGAAAGTGTAAGACAGCGGCAGGGAGAAAAGGAAGCTGAAGAGGGTGGGGTGAGAACACAGCCCTGCTTCACTCCCTTTGGATGGGGAAGGGGGAAGATAATGACCCGTCAAACTGTACTGTGCCCTTCATTCCTCATTGAATGATGACACCATCTTCAGCAGCTTCTGTCATGTCTGTGGGCATGCACCTTATCTTCTCAAGGAGCTTGAAGAAGCCCTTCCTGCTCACAAGGTCAAACGCCTTGGTCAGGTCTACAAGGACGATGTAAAAGGGCTAGCTGCTCCTGCTTCTGGCACTTCTCCTACAGCTATCTCAAGGTGAAAATCATGCACTACGACATGGGTAGACCCGCTCAGCAAATTGTTGTAGTCTCTTCAGAGCTACCTGGGTGAACGCTTTCCCCACGATGCTCGACAGTGAAATCCCTTTGTAGTTGCTGCAGTCGCTGCGATCCCCTTTGTTCTTGTAGAGGGTGATGAGGGGCCTTGCCATGTACGAGGGAGTCGATGGCCTTACTCAGCTCTGCTTTGTCAACAAGTGTAAAGAGGGTGCAAGATGATGAGAAAATTTGGTCTAGTGTTAAATTTACTAAAAAAAAGTAAAAGTAGGCCTTCAACTTTATTTCTACATAAAAAATGGAATGCACTCAGCAGGTAATGTAAACAAAAGATATGTGGTTGGGGATCACTAAAAAGGGAAGCTTGTCAAGTAGTGATCCCCATAGTCAATAATAAACATTAATTTAATAACAAACACATAGTAGTAGTAGTAAAAGTATAGGAATAACGTAATTAAAAACCTACCCTGTGGCTGCAACCCTGTTAAGAGAAATACTTTGCAAATAATTGTTCAACATCATATTTTTATATTTATACTTGAAGACTGAAAGACTAGAGATATTTTTGAGAGATGAATCAACCCAGTTTGGAACCTTCGTGCTTAACAGATACTATAGAGATTGTAGTACAAGCATGATCTGTGAAATTCATGACGCTGTCTTGTAAAGTAATGGTGGATGTCATAATTTTTTTGAGAACATCAAACAAATAGATTTGGGTAAACTCTGAGTTTTAAGTTGGTGCATGAAGGCGCCCAGCTGAAGAGAGTAAATATCGTTAATTTTTAGAATACTACAATTATAAATGAGTAGATTATGTATTAAATGAGTATGTTCATAATAGTCAACATTATTAATAATAGGCAACATTTTTTTCTGCAACTTAAGGATTGATAAGACCAGTACCACTATTGCCCCTTGCAATTATACTATATGTAATGTACTGTAAGGTAAAATGAGGGTATTATATACAAATTATTAAGATTTCCTTAGGAAAAGTACATTTACATGTAGGCTTAGATATAATACCTATGTTTCTGGAGATGACAGTGGAGATGTGATTAATGTGTTTCTTCCAAGAAAGATCATCAATATAGAGACCCAAAAATTTTAGACAAACAGTTTTTATAATGTTAATAGTACGAATATATTGCAAATGGCTGAGTGTACTTCTTTGATGTTAAGAGACAACTTATTTGCTATGATCCAAGCAGATACTTTTTTCATCTCATAATTAACAGTATCAACAAGTACATTTATATCATTGTGGCTGTAACATAAGTTGCTATCATCAACGAAAAAAATATAAAAAAGTACATCTGAAGATTTATTTAAGTCATTGATATATACCGAAAATAAAAGGGGACCCAATATTGAACCCTGTGGGACTCCACAAGATATTTTACAATAAGTAGAGTGGGTTCCACTGATAGAAACAAATTACTGATGATTAGAGAGATAACTCCAGAACCAATCTTGGGCAACTCCTCTAATTCCTTAATATTCCAATTTTGATAAAAGAATGTGATGATCCACTGTATAAAAGGCCTTGGAAAGGTCCAGGAAGGTACCAATTGTATCAAAGGCCGCACCTAAGCCGCTTGTTATTTTGTTAGTTAGTTAATAATGGCATGTGTAGTGGAATGATGAGCCCAAAATCTATATTGATTATCTGATATTATAGAGTATTTGTCAAAGAATTCGATGGTACATTTATAAATCACACGTTCAATTATCTTAGAAAATGAGGTAAGAACTGAAATCGGTCGATAATTACTAACAATGGTGGGGGTTTCCACTTTTAAAAATTGAGGTGATTCTGGCAATTTTCATTCTTTCTGACACATAGCCTGTTAACATGGAAAAGTTAACAGAAGGATCCAAATACGACACTTTTAGCGTCAATCTGCGCACTTCCACGTTTGAAAACGAGGCTGTATGTGTCAGCTTCAATTCTTAATATGATCAGACGATTGAAAGTAAGGAGTCAAGACACAAAATACACAAAGGTATGTTAAATTCAGACTTTTCAGGCGGCACATTTTTGTGGAAGAGTCTTTCAGGATGACTCGACATGTAAAAATCAAAAGAAAATAAACACCAATTTACCACAGACTAACGTACCTGTGATGGTCGTGTATCTGCATGTGGCTTAAACGGAAGTGGGCTCACACTTACGAACCAGATACTGCATGTACTGTGTCGACTTCGCGGGCATGCGATGAAGTTCAACATAGAGAGCCTCGGTTTCGATACAGATATGCGCAGACGGCGCTAACGTGAAATCTCTCTATAATGAAAGTCAGAGGACAGGAGTCCGCCTTTTTGATCATTTAATAAAAGATTTACTAATTAGATCAAAGCCAAAGCTAGTTTTATTAGGCAAATTACCTACAATATCAATTATTTCTTCTTCTGTAACTGAAGATAAGAAAATAGAAGTAGGATTTGGGTTTGATTAATACTCGGCAAAGTTGAGACAACTGGAGTCAATCACACTAGAGAGGTTTTTTCCCAGTATTTATGAAATAGTGATTAAAATGGTCAGTAATAAATTGAGGATTATTGACATTCACACCTTCAGTATCAATTGAATTTATTTTTGATTGCTACTTATTATGAATTACACTATTGATTAGTTTCCACTTGTTTTTAACATCACCTTTTACTTTTTCAAATTGTTTGGAGTAACAATTACGTTTAGAATTCCGAAGAACATTAGTAAGTATATTCCTGTAGTGTACATACCTAGAATGATTAAAGTTTGTAGGTCTGCTAGTGTAATTGAGTTAATTTAGATGATTTAGGTTTGTGCAATTTTGAACCATTAAAAATATTCATAAAATTGTTAAAAGCAGAATTAGCTTCACTAGCATTTAAAACTGGACTCCAATCACAGGAGGAAAGTTAGTGTTTAAAAGGTTAACAAGATTATCACTAGAGTAATCATAAATTGGAATATGCTGGGGATTAAAGTGATCTAGTTTGAAGGAACAAAATGTAAAAATAGGAAAGTGATCGGATAAATCAGTAATGATAATTCCTGATTTTGTTAGAGGTAAAATATTGAGAAAATGTTATCAATGAGGGTGGCCAGTTATCAATGAGGCTGGCAGATGTGTTTGTGACCCTAGTGGGTGTATGAATTAATGGTATGCAAGAAGAGAAGTCAATTATATTCAGACATTCTTGCAGCCGTCTACTACTGTCAGAAGTTAGCCAGTTTGAATTAAAATCACCAGTAATGAAACAATGTTACTTTGCATCAGTAACATGGTTAAATAATATCTGGGAACATGCTGTAAAATTTTCCAAATTGGCATCTGGGGGTTTGTAGACGACACCAATAATTATGTTCTTGGTATTGCGTGAAGTGGTAATTTCAGCAAATATACATTGAAAAGAATCATTCCCTACGTCATTCAAGTCAGGTCATGGAATATATTGTAAATCTGTGGATAAGTACATTGCAACCCCACCTTAACACCTCTGTTGTTAAAAATATGCAAATAGCCAGGTATATTAAATTAATTGATATTTTTATCATTTTACCAAGTTTCAGTTAATCCAATCACAGAAAAAGTGTGATTTAAGGGGTGGAGGAAAGTCTTAAGTTCATCAATGTGTTTGGTTAATCTTCTAATATTTAAATTAAATTACATTTAAAAATAACTAAAAAAATATTCAAGTGAATAGTAGCACAAGTTTCTTAGAGTAGTCTTCATCAATGGGTAATACAAGAGAGTCAAGATCAATCAGGGTCTGAAAGCTCATGAAATGATTTGTGTTTGAATTCAGGTCAGCAATCACTGAATCAAACTCATGAGGATCAAGCCAGTTGAATGGGAAGGCAGTGCCGAGGCACGGAGGACAGAATCAATTTCCGTCCTCACGAGTTTTTAGATTAAAATGATCAATAAGGTCAAGACCAGTACATTTCAGATGAGTCCAAAGTGAAAAACAATCACAAAAAATACTATTTTGGTTTTTTTTTCACGGGGTTACAGCAAACACGGCAGGGAAATTGAACAGATCAATCACAGTCAGGAAAAAACAGTAAGAAAACTGTGTAGGAGACAAAAACAGGGAAAAAACAGGTTCTTACAGACCTGTGTTTTTTCCTGAAACGAATTGTGCCACTGTCACAGTTCAGCATTGGACGGCCAGGATGACATACATACAATTGAGGACATCAAAACACAGTATTCTGTTTGTATGAATTCTTATTTTCAACTTGCTTCCCCAAAGTATTTGCAAATATTCCAAACTTAAAATATAAACTAAAAGTAGGGGTTTAAACAACGTCTCAGTAAACATTCAATATCTGCTGACCCCAAATACCTAAAATTTGACAGGACATATTCACATTTGTACTGAATGCTGGACAGTTAATGCCAGATGTTAGTCTCAGGCAATCAAAATAACCCAAAGATTTGAGTGTTTAAAATTATATCGCCTTTGATCTTATCTACAATTTGAATAAATCAGCAAGGACTTCAACACGAAATGTCTATAGTTTTCACAATGCCTTGCGTATTAAATACTAGTTTAAGTTACAGTTAGTGTACTAGACCACTGTTTCTAAAATTTAAACTGAACCTCAATCATCAAAAATGATAGGAAGCTCCGACCGGTCATAGGCAAATGAGGTCTTGAGTAACCAGGTAGCCTGCGGTCAGTCTCTACAGTAGTTCTGCATGAATCACTCCATCCAGACTTTCAAACTCAGGTAGTAACAGGGTATCTTGTTAGTCTCAAATAGATGGCCATCTAAACATTAAGATATATAAATGACTGAAAACCTACTAATATTGTTTCACTGTTACAAGTTCTTGGTTTCACATTCTCAAGGACAAATGTTAGCTGATGTCTGCCCCATAGGAATTTGCAAACATCAATAAACTTCCTCTATCATTCAAGTTAAATGGATCATCAAAATCAGAACTTTGACCTGTTTGTAATCCTTAAACACATTACCATGAATCAGACACTTAGCACAGCATAATTACTTGTTAACTCGAGCACACACAGCAATATATTTCATAATTGACTTAAACAAGCATTTTTGACCTTTTTAAAAAAATACATCAATATCAATGAATAACTTACAGTTAATCTTCTCTTGCTTCACTTAGAATCTTCCAGCAGGGCTGGTGGTTCCTTCTTGCTTGATCTTTTGCTTGGTGCAATGTTGCGGTCTGCTTGTTGAGCAATGACTCTAAGCTCCAGGCACCCACTGAAGCACGCAGACCGAGGTGGGTTGGCATCTTATTAACCAGGGATGCTGCCCGGCTTGAGGTGGGCGGTAGCTGACCACTGGGACAAGATGAACGCTCCCACCTACAGAGGCAACCCATAGCGTCGTACCCTTTGCCAATCCGATTGGACTTATCACTCATAACTGCTGTAGTTATGTGTTGTTTCTGCTACCGGTACTTGCAGCAGCACTGAAGTGACTTCTCCGGGCGCAAGGATGGGCAAGGTGTATGAAGACTTAGGGCTGCCCAGACTCCAGAATCTCCCTCTCCGCCTCAATGGTGTGATCCAGAGGAATGCAGAGCAGTACCATCTGGCACCAGGTTGGCTACAGGAGCTGCCAGAAGGAAGTAGATGTTGACATCCACCCCCCTATGGGGCTTCACTCTGAATTTTTCCTCAAGGTTCACTCCCGAAGCCTTTCCCTTGGCCAGGTATCCCGCAAGGCAGCAGAGGTTTGAGATCAGGGTTTTCCTTCCCCTAGGCAAGCATGCCTTCCAAAGCTGACGAACCCCACCTACCTGAAGCAATTGGTTTAGAGGCGCCAGATACCCATCTTCGCCCCTTCTCCTGGCTAAGTCACACAAGCAGGCCAGGAAATGGACTTGGTTGTCAGAGGCTGTTTGAGACGCAAGCATGCCATCTGAGAGTATTTTATAGATACTGTGAGTTTATCTCCACTACCACCACAGGCAATGACAACCATGGAACACATGGAATATCTGAATCATGTTCAGTGTGAAAGATGTGCTGTATTAATTTGTGTTTTGAATAGAGAAAAAGCTTTGCGTTCACATGCAGGATTAGTTTGAATGTATGAAATTGAAAAACCAAACAAAACAGAAAAATGAGCTGAGCATTTTTTGTGACATTACAGTACATGTATAGAGAATATACAATTAAGGTCACTAAAGACCAAGTGGAAATGGGCTGGGATTCCCAGAGGTGCATGTTGAAGTTAGAATAGACCAGAGACACACAAGCTGCAGTAAATACGGTATAACATTCAATATCCAATGCTTCAAAAACAAAGACATTTGAAAGAAACTGGCATATGTTTACTTACAACTAAAAGCAATTTATTCTTACTTTTTTTTGATAGGAACATTTCGAACATCTCATTCCAATTGGCCATTCCAGCTTGTTTCGACATGAAGCCAAACATTGATGTCAGGCAATCTTTGGGGTTTCTTGTTACATAGACCACCTACAGGTACACATACACCGAGAATATACTGCATGGGCATAGTCACAACAAATGAAAACCAACAGAATGCAACGGTGTAACAGTCACACGACAGCATACAGAAAAATACTATCGATGTACAGCATTACAGTTTAGTTTGGAAAAGTGCTTTCAACAGATTTTTTACAATCAAACAGATGTATTTTCATATGCAGTTAGATCAAATTAATCAGTTATTTCTAAAATCAAGCTGATTTTGTGGGAGAGGTGTTATAAAATAAATACCCACTGCTTTATCTTGTGGAGTAACAGTCTTTGTTAATGATCTATCCATTTTCCCTCAGCTTTGCATTCAGAAAAATACCGGTAGAATTCTCTACAGATTACCTCAGGAGGCTAGTTTTACAACAGCACTTGAAGCAGTTAATACTAAATTTGTATAATGTGCAGTGTTGTAGTCGAGAACTTTCCAAGAACCAACGTTCTCCGCAAAATACTGAACGGGGTAAGAGGGAATAAAGCCAGAGTGCACAGGCATTTGATGGTAAATGGGCAAAGGTAAGATTACAAAATAAATGTTAGACTTCAGACACTCCCAGTTGTGTAAAATTTAAGTTTTAAGGAGAAAAGTACTCGGCCAAGTACTTTCTGAGTACTATTGTCCTAAAAAGTTAATTTTAATCAAACAGTGAAGGTCTGAAGTCATTATGTTGCTCTGTAATCTTACCTTTATGCATGTACCATCAAATACCGATGTACTTTAGCTTTGTTCCCTCCCAATTCATTAAATATTTGGTAGAGAACTTGGTTCTCAAAAAGTACTCGACTACATCACTGATAATGTGTGTCCCACATACATGTATGCAGCCACACCAGGCCAGCTGGTATTTGATTCATGGAAAGTGAAAAGAGAAGTGTTTATACATCGACACAGTCAAATACATGTATGTGTCAGTATGATGTGTTATTACATGTAGGATGAAACTCAATTCATGCAACTTCCTTTCACTCAATATTTGAGCACAAAAATGATCAACATCTGGCTTTGTGGTCATGGTACAGAAGTTAATGGGCTACTTACACCACAGGGCTGAGAAAAATGAAGTACCGGTGCTACTGAGTTCAACAGGTTGACAACTTCATACGTGCAGTATCAAATTGACGTTTGTCATGTCAGTATTTTGTGAATTTATCCAAAAATCTTGAAAAGCAAGCACTAACATGCCTCCCAACGTGCCCTGCATACCTCTCCACATCCCTCTCAATTTCTTACCCAAACTTGCATGGACATACAGGTACATGTACAAAAGGAGAGTAGAGGCCAGTGGGATGCACATGTAGATTTCCCAGCCCAATGTCCATGTACCTCTACATGACTGCTCACCTTGCCCTTGCCCTGAAGAACTGCTGGAGGTATTACGTTTGCTGGCAGATGAGTTGGCAGAACACGCCGGGATGTTATGGTTTGCACATACTTGTAGGCCGGAACTTGATTGGTGGGAGTTGGAACAAACATCTCTAATCCACCAAATTTCATCTTCTCGTGTCGATCAATCTTATCGGGATAGCCTTCAGTCAGTATCAGGTAAACTATCTCCATTGTCCAGTGGGTGCCTGGTTAAGAAATTACAGCTGCAAATTCAAAACTGCCTCATATCTAAAGAGGCTGTCGGTTCACACAATTACATGTATGTGGTAGAAGAGTCAGAAGACAGAATACAAAGTCTCTGTTAGATTTTAATCAGACTCAAACACTAGAGTACATGTAAGTGTTGAACAGCCCCATGTTAACACTCACTTGTGTAGTTGTGAAGATTCCAACTTACAGTAGTTGAAGGGGCATTTTTCGCCTCCTTTTTTCTGATATCGTTTCAGTCCATTTAGCCGAGAGAAAGCAGTTGTTGATAGTTTCCATGACAGTGTACATGTATATACATGTATCTTTCCCATAAACATGAACACATTAGCTACACTTCATCATAGTCATGCACTTGGTAAAAAGCACACCTTATGCAGCCACAATAACTCTATGCAAAGCGATTTAAGCTGAAACAATGCCCAGGAACAATGGATCACACAAGGGTTTGGATGGTAGTCATTGTGCTCATAAGCTCAATTGGCCTTGGAAAGTCTCTTCACTTTAGCTGACTGATACTTGAAGAGCACCTCTGAGGAAAACATGTTTTCTCTGATTTTATCTGTTCAAATAAATATGGACATGATGGAAGCATCCAAATCGAACGCAGTCTAAAGTCTATAAATCCTAGCTTTATGATAATGGGGGTCAAGGAATAGATTGAAAATCTATTAACCATAACCAGGCTGGACATGTACATTAGAACTGTGAAGATAAGGTTTAAAACTATAGCTTGTAAACATACCGCATTTGGGATACGTGAGGATGAAAATATCATCATCTCGTACTTTAAATGTTTCCATGGCTTCCAAGTTCTCTCGGGGGACCATCAACTTGGGATATATCACTCCTTTGTACTCATGAGTCGCAGCCATCATTTCCTTCATTTTTTCAGGGGTCATACCTCCAGAGAATACACCACCGGCAGGACCCATGCCTGGGGGCATTTGTTTAGCACCATCAGCAGCCATGGATGCTTGCAAAGGAAGTTGAGGTATTCAACCTGAACTGAAATTAAGGCATGAAAATTGAATTATGAATAACAGACCATTAACAGTGAACCAATTAACCACTGGTCACTGAAATCACACCACAAGTGAGGTAATGAGTGAATTTGAAAAATCCAATGTAAGAAAGCATTAAAAAGGCTATGCTTAAAGGTACATATAGGCACATATGTGATGTGATCTGGGAAAACCCTTCAAATGGTGAAATTTGTCACTTTGGTGTTACACAGTATACATACTACATGTCTATGCACATCGATTTAAGGATATACTGTGCTATTTTCGGAACTGTTTAACTTATCATTCTAAGGTAGGTTGTCTATAACTTGTACTTTGTCTCAAATGAATAGCACCCTAGGTAATGGCTGATCCAGGAGGCCAATGGGGTCCCTTCCCTCCTCCCTCCAAAAAGAACCATTTTTTTTCTTTTTCTCTCTTTGACGAGAAAAAGGATTAAGTTTATCTTCCCCAAGAGCATGTCTGAAGCCTCCAAATTTATGTGACAACTTAGAGAACTTTCAATAATTTTTGTTCCCCCTCCCCCAAAAAACCTATCTAGCCCCTGAAAATTTGATTCTAGATCTTCCACTGTACTGCTACTTGCTAAATATTAAAACCCTGATGTGCATCAATCTGTGTGTCAGGTAAGTAAAGTCACTGTCAGAGCTTTACAAAACACATGTAGGTCTAATTTGAGAAAACAAATCATATGTTAGATTATTATGCTATACTAATGCAGTGCTGTGCTGTCTATGATTTGGAGAATTGGTGTGCTTCAGCATCACTAGGCAACTCAGGGTTGTATACACACAAAGAGTTGGGTCTTTCCACAAAAGAGGTACAAAAGTGTACGGAGCCCCTAAAGGGACATACCAATAGTTTTTTTATCCCGTGCATGACATACACTACCCAAAAAAGTTAAGGACCATTTTTTTTTCCTAACTTGTAATCTTTTCCATGCAATGAGAGGGGTCTAGTTCTCTCATTTTTGGTTTGTCTAGATGGTGGTCTCATTGCAATAAACAATTTATAAATTTTTTCAAAACATTATGCAACAACTGAAACCAACCACATGTGAAATTGATTACAGCGTGTTTGAGGTCATTTAGGACAGTTGTATTGGGGTATTTCTAGCAGTAAAATACCTCATATAAAAAAAGGATACACAGAATAAAAAGTCCTTAACTTTTTCGAGTAGTTTATTGTAGCGCTGGCGGGTTCGGTAAGTGGGGGCGCCAGCTTGGACCCACATGGAGCTAGCTGGCTGCCCCCGCTGGTATGCGAACGGCCCGCGGTTTTCCCGCCTCTGGAATGTCACAAAGGTTCAACAGCACATTTTTAACAGGAAGAGTATTTAACTGAATGAATTTGAAGTTTTTCATCAAAGAGGTTCGGCTACACTACACCAGGAATGACAAAGGAAATGTCAGAGTGTGCCACGAAAAGTCAATAATTGTAATTTGGGTCTAGAACCTAGACTACAACTAGTAGTTTGCGTGACAGCAATACCACACAGTCACACTGAATCCATGGCACAAATTCTGTTTTCTTCCCAAATCATGGCCCAGCCATGGATGCAGGAAAGCATACTATGTGCAAAGATTGGCAGTGAACCCCACCCAAAAAAGGCTTAGGACCAATAAATAAAGAAAACCCAGAGAAAATGTGATCTATGGTGGCTCACTTCCAAACAAAACAAAAATCGAACTGAATCTATTTAAGAATATATTATACTCGAACAAAAAGAGTTAAGCACATAGAGATGAGTAATTGAATTTTTGTCACAGCTGTTATTATTCCATCAAAACTTTGTGCTGGATACCAAGTAAATGGCCAAACCAAACACAAGAACAATTAATTGGGGCACACTAGACCCCCAGCATGGTTCTCAGACCAAACCACTGCTTGGTACCCAGACCAAGCAACCATAGTGCTAGGTGCAAGCCACTGCAGTACAGCTGGGTTCCCAGTCCCAGAATCACCGTAAATTTCTTTCATGGCCAACGTGCCCAACTTACACAAACAGCTGTGAAGATGTGACAGTGTTGGCGTGTAGCTGTTTGTTCACTACCAACAGACAAAGATTCTGGGAATTCTTATTGGTGAAAAGTTTTTCAAATTTGCATAATACAGACATATTAGCTTCCTCACCTTTAGTTATACCGATATGGTTGTGTGTTGTTCACTTTGCAGCGGGTCAGGTGTACACCACGTACATGTATGTTTCAGAGGGAAATTATTAACTGCACATGTCCCGTTTATAGGGTCATTTGCATGCGTAATGAGGGCCATGGGAATTCGTGCCAAGCAAACAGCTTCTTCATCTCATTAAATTTACGTCTTATTTTCATTTTTTGGAAATAAAATTTCCTGCCAAAAATATTTTCATGGTAAGATAAGGCCTTTTCCTGACGTGTTTTGTGAAAATTAAATTGAAAAATAGTACCAGAGGTCAAAACTTAGTCTGGTGATTTTTGTGAAAACCTCTTTTCGTAAGCGGTAGTTTGATTTAGTTTGTTTACGTTTTGATGCGATTTTTGAAGGATCAAAACAGATTGCGAGCGGAATTAAGTAATCGGGAACAAAAGACGAGCTCAAAAGTACAGTAAGTTTACATGCAGTTCATTATTGAAACCGAAGTCTATCTGTCATTATAAAATTGCCAGGAAAATGCTGAGATTCATGGTATACTGTAATCCCCAGTTTTACATGTACATGTACTGTACACACATGAACCACACCAGCTCCGTCAAGAATTTCCATGCACCTGAGCATGTACATGTATATGTACGCCATGGTACATGTATGTGTGAACAAGCCGCAGGGTAACTGTTCATAGTACGTGGCCTGGCTGAAACGGTTTTGTGCATGTACAACATATTCAGATCGCGCTGTACAAAAGTAAGATACATGTATATAACTCATGATGGTCGAACAAAAAAATCTAGCTACAGAGAACTGATTAAATTGTGTAGTTGAGATTCTAGCCTGTCGTATGCAGTGTCTCAGTGTTCTGGGAAAACTTCTAAAATTGAGAAATTTAGTGAAAAAAAGACCAAGTGATTAATTGAAAATGGAAATAATTTATCATCTTAGCAACCACTTTGAGGCTAAATTTCATATGTAGCATTTCTTTTCGTGACTGTGTGATGTTTTATTCGGTTTAAGCCTTCTAGAGCATGTACAAAGAGTTTCCATGTGATCGTTTGTTAACTTTGTGCAAACAAAGTCTTCAAAACAAGAAGGCTCAACAGAGGACTGGCAAGTTGCTAAGGACATTCTTGTATGGTTCACAAGGGTCCGGTCAAGTAACCGCCGTGTACGGTTGAAGTCGTTAATTTCCACAAATTGAACAAGGATGAAACATACGTGACACGTGTACATTGTTGCTGCGTATAAGATATTTTATCCCGTAGCAGTAATAAAAGTAATTATATAGGCCCTAGTATAGTATTGGCAGAATCTGAATCTCGGTGAAAAAAGAAAGAAAGAAGCATGAACATAATTCCATGCAAGATTTATCAATACCTACATGTATAATAATTTTGCCTGTGACTCAACCAATGGAAGACACAAAAAATAATCAAGTTATGTAAGCATGAACAATTTTGGTCAAAGAACAGATAAAAAGTCAATCAAATCTATTTGAGCTACCGGTACCGTATCATGCAGAAATCAAAACAAAATGAGTGAAGACCAACGTTTGACAAAACCTAACCGACCTGATTAATTAAAACTGTCAAAACTCGAAACAACTTCACATGAAACTGTCTTGAGGAAGATGAGATGGTATGGCCTGTACGAGTTAGTGGGCAAAATTTGTTGCCTGAATAATTTGCAAACAATACCGAGAGAGTGAAGCGATAGGCGTACTTGTCTTTTTTGATTTTTTATTGGATCCGATCCAATACAAAGTTTGAAAAAGAAGTACATGTACATGTACTACCGCTCCAGCTCAGTCGAGCTAATGGGTCAAAGGGCAAAGCTTACCTGACAAAACGAAAATCAAGAAAACAGTGATCTTGTGATACTAGCCTGGCTCCTGAAGAGAGTGACTAAGAGTACTGTACATGTGAAGTCACCCACTACACCAGCATTTGTTATGTATATGCATGTGGTTTTGGGCCCTTTTCCAATACTCGACTTGGGCTCCGCCTCAGGCTTCGTTCCCAAAACCAATCCCCGATTGTAGGCCTGAAGCGTTTAAATTAAATTGAATTACTGTAATTTCTGGCTTTCTTGCATATTATTTGATGCTTTGTGGTACTATTAGACTAATTACTGCGCTTACAGCTTCAAAGTAAGCTAGTTAAAAAACAGGTGCAGCCTGAGACGGAGCCGGAGTTGAGTACTGGAAAACGGCCTTAGTGAGCTGCTTGCATAATTCATGCACCCCAGCCCCAAACAGAAGGTCATTGCTATCATGAGGGCAAAGAGGCACATGCGTACTTGTACTTTAAAACTTGCGTAATAAACTTACGAAACGCAGTGCATGAACGGCTTGTAATCCGCCCCGTACGGCGCTTTTAAGTACGGACCTTTGCAAGGGAATGGGTGAGAAACGAATTGGGGGAAAATGTTCGTTCAAACGAAAACATTTGTTCGAAAGAAAAAAAAATCGTTCGAACGACAAAAATTTGATTGCCTGGAAGTGAGCACACGTGCATATTTTGGCAAGCCAAACGTTTCAATAGCGAATAACGTTCGAACGATTTTTTTGAACAATTTTTTTGGTTCACACCATTTTTTTTCCGTTCGAACAATTTTTTGGGTTCGATCAAACATTTTTCCCCAATATGTTTCTCATCTGTGTCCCATTAAATTAAAAGCTCCGTATCTAGGGGTGCAGTGTCCCAATTCAAGGAAAATTCTCCGTCAGACCGAGGCGCACAAAAAGTAACCCCCCCCCGAGATTGTTTCGAAAAGAGGGGTCTGATTGGGCCAAGAAATGGTGGAATTGTGTCAGAATGGCTCAGGATCATCTCTGTAGATTCAGGGGCACCCATCTGGGGGCAAAGCAGACAAAAATGGGATTGAAAATTAGTCAGAAGAGCCCCCGGAAGGTGAAGGATGTCATTTGAAAAATGACCGCTGGGAGGGCTTGGCAACATTTACTTTTTGGGGGGTGAGTTTGTTTTGGGCGGATAATTAAAAAAATCATCGGTTAACCTACTAAAAATTGAAAATCAAATGAAATCTGAAGGACCACACAACACATTGTTTTTTGTTTGAGAGGCCTCAGGGACTTCAGTTGCCTGCCATGGGGCTCCAAACGTGGTTGATTTTACACCATTTTCAATGGAGCTTGAATTGTTTCAGCGCACCCCTATACGATCTTTGGTACTGAGGTCAAGGCCGGTCATCAAATCACTTGCACGCCACGCCAGCATATAGGTTGCGCAACTTGTCTACATTTTCTTGATACCTGACAGACCGCACATTTGGCAAGTACTTGCACCGTGCTTGCGATCTGTTGCAGTGTAGCTCCACGGTTGCTGGCTCGCGTTGGACCGTTAAACCATGATTAGGTTGTCAAAGTATGCAGAAGCGGGTCTTCCGGGGGCCCAAAAAGCCCGGTACGTACAGAAACTGGCAAGCAGTGGCTTGGATAAAGACCCATAATATCGGCGATTCCAAGGACCTGGATGCGTCTCCGGCTGTTATTCCACAAGTAAAGTGGGGCGATTTGTCTTATGTTGACACCGAGCCAGCATACACGTGAGGAAATGCGAGTAAGTTTGAGACTTGATATCTGTACAGACAATAGGCATTTAGGCCTGATAATATTCTTGTGAAGTTTGGATAGAAACCATTAATTTTTTAACTGCTTAAACGCATCCACCACCGGTATTGTCCGGATTTGATATCAGTCTAAATTCATTTACATGCTTTAAAGCGAACAGTTTGACAATTGAATTGTCTGCAAGTGGCATTGCACAAAAGTAACAATTTACAAAGCCCCTTTCTTTTCAGTGTTGTTGAATTAACTCCGAGAGAAGAATTTTTCCCATACTTGGTCAAATCATGGAGAAATAAAACACATTTCTCCCTGGTTAAATCAAAAATTGATCATAAAATTTTGAGGGAGTCCAAACATATTTCACCGGTCAGTTCATAAGAAATGTAAGTGCACTGTATTCCATATCCTATCACAAGTATTGGCTGTAAGCGTATCATCCAAGAAAACAAGCGCTTTAGGTCTGGTCTAAATTTCGTCAGATTCCGGTCTTCAATACATTTCTTATGTATTCCAAAGCTAGATTTTTTTGTCCACACCCGTACCCTCCCCCTTCTAAAACTGTCTAATGCTGTATTGCCTATTGGTATTGTTAATGTACTTTAAGTAATAAATGCTGAAAAAAACATAAATATTTCCTTTTGTATTTGTAGGCATGGAAGGCAATGACGGGTTCAGATAGCTTTATACAAGCTGGATCGATGGTTCCATGATATGCTTCCGTGGTTTTTGCCAGAGAAAAAAGGAAACATTGTGTCAAGTCAGCTCACAGACGGGGCTATTTTGCACAGTAAGATAAGGTCCTGTGTAGTGAGGGGAGGGGATATATTGCCCTTGGCTCAATATAGGTCTCTATTTCTATTCAAAAAATTAAAAGATGGAAGAGGAAACCATCAGTGTTAATGATGCACTGGTGGTAATGAAAACTCTAACATTGAAGTTTAGCAACCTTGAAAAAACTATATGGATGCATGGTTTATCGGGAAAATTTGTCCAAAATCCCATAATTCCAGTCCAGCAGACCTATCACACAAGACTTTCTTCTTATGATTTCAGTAATCATTTTGTATTTTTTCTACTTCTTTGTAGCCTTCGTGAGGCATGTTCACAAGTGGCAGCCCTGATCTCATGTGTCGTACGTGCAAACGAGTACAGGAGAATGACCAGTGTGGATGCTTGCACGTCCCAGAAATGTGTGTTGCTACCCTCAAAACGAGATTTGAGTCATCGTTTGATTGGTTCACTGAATTTACTCTCTAGTTCCTACACCTCAAAAATGCATACCTACTGATCAGGGTTTCAATTGGAGATTGTTTTTGGATGAGATTGGAAGATGCCCCAAGAATTGTGGCTAGATGTAGATAATTCAGGACAGAAAGCTGTTATTCAAGTGTCTCGTGTTGCTTTATTTTTTTTGTTTAATCCATTCTCGAAGCAAGGATGACCCTTGCCATCCTTCTGTTTGTGATGTTTGGAAATGGATCACCATGTATCCTAATTGTTTTTTTTTAACAAATGTAATAGGTTTCGGCTGCTGAGATCAGTGCTATAGACTATTTATAGACTATTTACAAGCCCTGCGACAAAAAGGAAGAAGGGACAGCAATCAGATCATACACAGGCTTGCAAGAGAGACATAACAAGGCCAACTGCAGATGAGCTTGCAACCTTCCACCGGGCCGGGCCATAGCACCAACCGAGCCAGTTCTGCACCACATTCTGGATGACTATGCTGGGGAGTTCATAGTCTTGAGTGCCACTGACATATTACCAAGCAGCCTTTACAATCCAGATGCCCTTAAATGGCATTTTGCCAACCTGTGCAAGACTGTGCAAACATTTTCGATACTTCTCTGGTAAGTTATCTCTCTAATTAACTTAAGTCTGCTTTTCATTTGGCATGTTTGATATGAGTGAAATTGTGAAATGTAATAATCCTTTGCTTTGTAACTGGTGAAAATAACAGTCTTAATTATTAGGGGAGAGTAGGGATACTATTTGTTTATTGTTTTTAAGTAGTTTAAATAACCCTTTTTTCTCATTTTATGTCTTAGCTTTTCCAGATAACAGAAGAACAGTGCAAAGAAGTAGAATTCAGGACTCGTGACCAAGCTAAAAGTAAGCTGTGGTTTCAGCAACGTGCTGGAAGAATCACTGCCTCACAATTCCACAGTGCTGTTTAGACGAACTTGGCAATGCCATCTTCCAGCTTGGTGAAGAAAATATGCCTTGATCCTGAGGCATATCGCTTTTCCACCACTGCAACAAGGTAAATGTTTTACATACTATAAAGTCAAATGAGAGTAATAAATGAAAGTTGCAACCTTTTCTGGCCACAAAGTATGTTGTGTGCACTTTATTGTGCCGACAACTAATATGGAGACATTCAGAATGAAATGCTTATTGTACAGGTACTCTGCAGTCTATTGTGTGACTTGCACCCGTATTGTCTGCATAGCGATTGCTCTGTGCATGAATTACTAACAGCAGAAATAGGTAATTCCAGAAATTAGGGTCCATTTTTTGTGTCCCTGTCACATCTGGCACATGATTTGTAAGTTCAGAAGACATTTTCTAATTTCTAAGAGTGATGCATTAAGGTAAATCACATGCCAAACCAACAGGAATAGTTCGAAAACAATTTCAGTGATATTTCCATGTCAAATAACAAAGGTCAGATGTAACAGGGACACATAAATGTTACACTTTTGGACCCCTAATTTCTGGAATTACCCAAATACAGTTGCATAGCGATGCATCCCCAAGGGGAAAATGTGACATCAATCCTGTAAAATTTATTGTTTATTCCGTGGTTTTTTTTTTGCATTTTACGGGGGGGGTTGAGCATGAAAATGAAGCCAGGAGCATGTGTATGTCAATGCTGAGCTGACACCACAGAGACCTGGTCGTGGAAGATTGTGGATTTATTTTAAATCCAAAGTATCCACACCTTGTAGCCTCCCCGTTGATTTCCTGATGTGTAGCTGCTGTGGCAAGAAGCTGATTGAAGTGAAGTGGTCCTATTGTTTCCGGGAAGGACTGCCGCATGAAGAAAGTAACAGCAAAAATTTCTGCGTAAAAAGGGTTGATGGGTTCTGGAAGCAGAAAGAAGATCATCCATACTTTTACCAAATTCAGGTCCAGTTAAATATTTGCAATGTCAATGTGTATGTTTTTGTTCTTTGGACAAATGACCTAATTGTTCAAGAAGTCAATAAGGATATCAATTTTTTTTTAAGCATAACTTACCAGCAGTTACATGTTTTTTAAACTGGAATCCTTCCAGAATTAGTAGGGAAGTGGCAGACAAGAAAACAAGTGGAGTCAAATGGTATTGTAGATGTTCCAGAACCCGTGGAGACTTCATTCCCGTCAGCAGCAGATGTTCCCAACATTAACTATTGCTTCTGTGAGCGCCTCTCATATGGTAATATGGTGACATGTGATAATAAATTATGTGCTATCATTTTGTTTCAAATGGATTGTCTCATGTTGCGGGTCCCTCCAAAGGGCAAGTGGTACTGTCCCCACTGCAGGAAGTTCCCAAAGCTTTCAAAATTGAGAAAGCAAAGCAAGGTTCAGAAATAGGTGTTAGGCAGCATACTGAAGAGTAACACTTTCAGAGTTATGTGAAAGTCTTGCTGTGTCCTGACATTTTATAGTGCTGTTACTACAATGATTGTACTCTGAAGTTCCAGCATAAAGGACAAAAACCTGGAAATCACAACTGCTTTTCTAGTTTATTCATTAGAATATTCATAGCAGAATGGCAAACTATAACTTAAATAGCTCCCTTTTAGGGCTTATAGTTAGAGTACCTATATTCTTTTTCAGTACTGAAAATTTAAATGCTTTAAATACGACTGTGATATAATGTTGCTGAGGGCTTAATGCGCTTGCAAATATTTTATTGGGGGGTATTATTTGATTGTTGTTTATTCTTTTGTAGGCATTTGTGATTAGCAATGCGGGTAGACTGGTAGACTAATAGACTATGTAACACTACAGTGAGGCTTGTTGATCAGTTCCACCATAGCACAGACATGACAAAGTGTCGTCCGGCCTACTCGTCTATCACTACAGTATTATGTTTATGGAACTCTATCTGTTAAGGGTTTATCGTAAAACCCCTTGCTTTCTCTTCATCGAACGTGGGCAAGTAAGGAACATTTGGCTCACCTGAGATAAAGTGTGCCGAACACGCCCGTGAAAACTTGGAGGGCGGCCATCCGTGTCGCTTGATGCTGCTCAACCATTTTGATCTTCTTCTTGCCGTCAATGTTTCGACTTCTCGGCCCCTAGATTTTACCACGACCGGAATGCAGTGGAACGACAGACCCTCTCGTCTACGGTCGGAACAGCCAACCACACAGCAACAGTATACCATACTGCAGTAACAGTAGTTACGGAGAATGACGATGAACAACAAAAATTAATAGGCCTAAGCCAACAAAGAAAAGGCGTTAAAATAGTGTCTCACGAAATTAAATGGCCGCGCCACTCGTACCAAATTAACCGAAATAAAAATATATGTAAGTTTGCTTGACCACAGTGAGGGCGCTGTCGCCAGTAAGCACGACTTGAATATGTCATATGCATAGACCCTATTAGAAATTGATATATCAATATTAATAAAAAGATATCTGTATTTTGCGATTAAATGTCAATTTCGCACGCCATTTGGAAGTGTTTGTAGGCCTACAAACGAGAAACGATAGACGCTGGTGTGTTTTTGACTTGTTCAAGTCCTAACACCGCTTTTTTTTTATCAGCAATGCATATTTGGAGTTTACTTAAGTACTGACTGACAAATGTTTCAGAACAATAACCCAAAACAGGTACTTAATTCCTTTATTTTCGTTTTAAAATTTGGGGAGAAAAAATCTGAGGCACACGTCCCAGCGCAAAGAAGGCTCCATATATTCGATTTTGAAGGATCTGACATTATCCAGATCTGACAATTCAGTCCCCCACCCTGGCTAGCAGTGGTATCGTCCTTTGTGAAACTCAAGCACGTGACCACAAATAAAAAACTGCAAACAAGCTGCATTCCATAATTTCACGCCCTTTTTGATCTCTGTGTTCAAGCGATATTTCCTCATCAAAGCATTTCTGGTGGAATAAGAACACTGCTGCCATACACGATGCAGACGACTGTGTGTTATCTGTTTGTCATCTGTGCCGCCTTTGGTAAGACAACATCTTTAAACATACCAGGGACAAACGTTATTTTTTGTATTATATTAGAAGCAACAAGATTTAGGTTTGAAGATTTAGGTCGATTACTGGCATGGGTGTGCAGGGCAAAAGGAATTCATCAGACAGCTGCGTTGGTAAAGAAATAAATCAAAACAAGTTCCTGCTTTTCGAGCCAGTTGGGGAGAGCTTCAGATAATATGGCAATCTGAGAGATGCGGAGCGAAAAAAATAACCCATTAGCGTGAAAATGTCAATGCTAAACCCACCCTGACGAATCACACGTTGGCAGTCCAGAAGCACAGTGCTTGGTGGGAATGGTGTGGCTGTGGTGATATATGTATGAATCAGTAGACACTAATCTCGCTGTTTCATGTGTACAGAATACAAACACCTTTTTACCTTAACAAAACGGACTTTTCGGTCCATCTTTCAGCCGTGTACAGATTCAACCTCCCTCCCCCCAGAAACTAAGATTGTTTATTGGGTTTTCGTACAAAGTGTCTAAATTGACTCATTGTAAATGTTATTAAAAAATTAATGTCCCGCAGGCTTAGCATGAAAAAAAAAATCATTTCAGCGGTATCAAAAAGGGGCGCTTTATCGGTACCTGGTAGACTGCCGGACAAAGAGGTTCCCGATACAAAGCTAACAATGCAAACGCCACCCTCATTGCTAAAGAGATGATTTAACAGCTTATTTGTCTTGCCATCTTATGGTCACGTGGGTATTTAGCCAGGCTCTGTGTGCTGTTGGGAAAAGTAGAATTTACATCCCGTCAGTGTTCAGCTTTACATATTAGGCTAGAATGACGACACAGTAAGGCAACATTGCCACACAAGCTCTTTCCCCTGGTTCATTTTACATGACAATTGCATTTACTTAACGAACGTTTTCGAGACGAGTGAATTCGGCTTAAACTTTGATTTCGCTGGTTCCAGCCATTTGGAAGCAGTGTTCGAAACTACATGCTCAAGCCATGAACCAGCGAAACCCAAATCTCTGCCGAATCCACTCGTTTCGGAAACGCTCTATGTCGGATATGATGTGAGCCACCACATCAGCCGTACACAATGCAGGGAGTGGGGATGGTGAAGGCACATTAACCTACAGGAATACAAAGAGGCAAAGGCGAACCACGGCCTTGTGTGTTCCTGTATTTTTAATGAACCTGGATGCAAGTGTCATGGTTCTCCTAAACGATAGTAGCAATGGAATTTAAAAAAAAATAAAATCCACACAAAATTGCACATTTTGTACACAGTCATTTTCAGTGTTTGTTTCACTTGTGTAGAGGGTGTTCTGCTACCTTTTGGTTCTTATGCTGATGAGCAATTTCATTTTTCATGAACAAACTTGTTATGTCACGCTCAAAAGAAAACCAATTGGCTTGTGCATAAAACTTGTGTATGCCTATTCTTAAAAAAAAATTGCTAAGCAACATTTTCTCTTTTTATGATTCATTGCTAATGTACACAGCATAAGCAAACAAGGAAGCAACCGTTTCTCAGATTTTCTCAAAATTTCAACGGATAAACGTAGTCATGCACTAAATCACACCTTCCCTAGACGACATTATAGCAACAGTGCCCTCAGTTGTTAAAAAAAGCATGGATCATTACATAAGTCTAAAAACTTCACTCTCCAATGCATGTAGTCTCATGGGAATGTCAAAAGTTTCATACATTAAGCAGACTACAAATTTGTAAGAAAGATATGACCAACAAAAACTCATAGCAGCTGTACTTTAAAATGTAGAGGCAAGTGCCTGCATGACCATGGAGGAAGGAACCTCTGTAAAACTTGCGTGGCTACCAAAAATACGCGAATAGTTACATGAAATAAACATTAAGTCTGTAATTACCTCAGGAAATAATGGAGATGCATCACTCGTGAGTACGGGAAGAAAGGCAAGCGTTATTGACTTAGACTCTGTTGTAGCGTGTACTGACGGGATCATTGCAGGGAACACTGCGTTCCTAAATTATGTTAACAAGTTCATACAGAAGACCTGCTTCCATGAACTGAGGAATGTGTGTAATGTCAAACCAGAATTCTTTCTCCTTTCAGGGTCGGAGGAACTTTGAATTCGAGTAAACAATTGTTCCTTCCCTTGTACTGTGTACACGTAACAGAGAACTACACATAAAAAGTGTCTAAATTCATTTATATTTATTTATTAACTAACTGCGCATTTAGCGCCAATTATAGGATGAAGTGATAATTAAGGCAAGGAAGAAAAGTTCACTTTTCGAGGTGAGAAGAAAAACCCTGGATAAACATTCCAGGAAAACTCCACAGAATCAGGCAGCGACTGGTAAACCCAACCCACATGCTGACCTAGTTGGGATTCGAATTCTGGCTGGCAGACTCTAAAGACACCGTATGTGTGTTCAAGAGGTCGTCACGAACAAACTGCGAGTAAAAGAACTGGGACGGGTGGTGATTAATTAATTAAGGAGGAGTAGTAGTAAATAGGAGTAAATAGAATCAAGAAAGCCATACAAATGGACTCTCGGGGAATGGTAGTTGTCCGAAATCACCGCGCAGACATAAAAGTAACCACAAATTCTTGGAAACTCAGGCTGATCTGGGAATAAACAAAAGGAGAAAGGTGCCTTCAGGATTTAGACCGGCTATGTTTTACATTTGTGAAATAAATATACGTTGTGGAAAAGACGTTTTAACACGAGATTTTCTTGATAACCCATAATGGGGTCAGCTACGTCATGTCTAAAATCCACCAGACGTGTTTGGTCCCCTCGACAGTAAAGAAAGGAAATGGAGGTGTCGATAGGTATCTCCAAATACCAGATATTTGTACTGGATATGTTTTTTTCACAGAAACTTTGCATGTCGTGTAAACCCTAGCCCATGTCATTTTACATGAGTGAAGTAATATTGAGAATGAAAAGCAAGTTCTATTGCGGCCTCAAACTTCGAATCGAAAGTGACACAGGTGCTGTTTCAAGGCCTTTCGGAATACAGCATAAAGGTCGCCTGGTAGATTAGGATATGAATTGTGACACACAGTGCTTTCGCGGTCCCCATGTTCATGAGTCTGAAGCTTGGCGCCAATAGTATAGGGCTGTGAAAGGGAAGTACAAGGCCGATTGTTGAAGGTGAATACACCATGATGAATGATGGAACGCTTGTATGACAAATTGACAATGTCTGATATATTTTACGGTGCATTCCATTAAAGTCCTGAAATGAGTTTAACGTGATCAAATCTCGAAATTATCATTGAACTTGGCCTTGTTTTGCTGTTGGGATCTCTTTTCCCCAAATCAGTTTTGCATTCCCAATGCCACACTTTTTACAAACCCATTTTGATTTGCAATAGGTATGTGTGGTTTGTTTCCTGGGAGAGGACAAAGCACTTTTCACTTTCCGCGGGTGGCGGTCTTTCGGGGGGGGCACTCACGGGTAAGGAACTTACGAACCATTAGGGCGCCCTTATTAAATTCTATGGTTCTCATTTCTTTTACCACTTGAGATAAGGTCGGTTGGTCGAAAAAAAATCCTTAAAAAAATGTCCAAGATGCTGGTGTAGCGCTATGCACGGACATCAGTGGGCCACAGAAAGGTGCGGTATACCGAATGTTTACGCGAACGCCGACCGCGCTGTTGGTCGTTTGCGAAATCGTAAGTTTTCAGGGCTTTTGTTTTCAAAGGTCGTGCTGGCAAATTTTTTTCCCTTCAGTTTTTTTTGAGTTTAGGTCTTTTTAGCATGGTCGGTGGGAAAAAAAGTGTTTTTTTTCCGAGATAGGGAGCCCAAAATAGGGTCGGTCGGAAATGAGAACCATAGAATATAAAAAGGGTGCCCTTATCATTGAAAGTGGTTTAAATTCAAGTAGTTTTTTAGCAAATTGGCTTAATTCATCCTCTTTTCATTTCTTCCGTGTTAGATTTTTCCCCGTTTAGGGAGAAAGCGCTGCCTTGCCTTCCATGCATACCCCCTTGAGCTACGCCCATGATTAATGTAGCAGGGCCAGTGAACACAGGATGCACGTTGGTTGTAAATTCATGTCTTATTCGTGCAGGGTGGTGTGCGGCTCTAGACTGCTATTCTTGCTTATTGGCATCCGGGTGTGGAGACCCGTTTGACCCAGCCAGCGCCACAACCAAGACATGTTCTAATGGGAGTGTCTGCTCGGTAAGTTGTCAGACTGTGTGTGATCAGTTTGTGCCGGAAGGTGGGTGGATGGGGATTTGCGGGGGGTATGACTTGCCCTGCCATGAAAATTTGAAAAGCGGCGGGGGGGGGATGTTCATGATACAGATGTACGTCTGTAACATGTATTCCATTCATGCAGAATCTTACATCAAAACGGCATATTGGTGACTTTTTATTGTTTTCCCTTTTGGGGGATATTGAATACAATTTAGTCACAATCCCCTTTCATTTTTTGCTCACCTCAAAAACTGGGTGATGAATCAATAGCCCATTCCCTCAGAATGTGTGGGTGGGATATACCCCACACCCCACGTGATTTACACCTATGGTGAGAATTAGTTAGCTGCGGCTAGAATTCAAGCACAAGATTATAATGGTAACGGCTGCAGTTAGTTCCCACAGATTTGTGTGTCATTCCAAGCCGCGGCAAAAGGATTCAGGTGCAGCTAAATACTGACACCGAATTTCGAAATCCTTCCTCCCCAGTAGGCCTACCTTTGTGCCCTATTTAAGCTAATGTTTTTAAGTTATGCCAGCACAAACTCTTCACATTAGCAAGTGAGATCCTAGACAGAAAACCTAAATGATATGTCAAGTTTAGCACATGTGCGTGCTTTCCTGTTCTTTTGTCATTCGCTTCTTTGTAAAAACAAGTAAACGAGAAACCTTTCTGAGAAATGCAGCCGGTGGAGATATTAAAAGTTGCACAGTTTCAAGAGCAGACCTCCATATTTCACAGCGTCTTTCCAGAAAGACATGGTACATGTCCAGGACAGAAAAATATGCTTCTCTTGTAGTCGATATTGAAGATGGAGTGTATGATTGTGAACCTTTCTGTTTTGAAGTGGGATCTCGTGGGTGAATAACTAAACAGAATAGAAATAGTGTTGGTGCTCTTTTTAAGACTTGCCTAAAATTGCCTTTCATCGTGTAAACGTTTTGTTTACAACACTTTAGTGCGTGTATGATGACCTTTTTTTTCTTCAGTAAATTACGGTCATCATCATGCTTTTGATATTGAAATTTTCATTGTTAAAATCCAATTTTAATGCCATGTTTAACTTCATAAATGAATACTTTATTGTACAGACGTACTTGTTTAAATTGTTCTAATTTTTTGGTTTGTCTTGTTCGTAATTGTCTGATCCTGATGACTTGCATTATTGGCCTTGTAATGTTCTGCTCATACAGACAATATCCTAGGCTTAAGTGTAATTTCAATCTTAATAACGTTTGATTCGATCTGAGAAAAATGTGCTTTTAATCTTTTAAGCCTACTGAATTACTATTTGATTCCACATTCAGTTAACTGTCACAGCAGAACAAGATCAAGATTGAACGAGGGAGTAAGCAGGTTCATTGAGTGAAATGATACGATTATCCGTGTTTCTCATAATAAATGTTAATTTGATTTTGAATCGAACTCGAAATTCGTAAATGAAAGCAATACCTGTGAAAAAGGCAGCACAAAGGACAGCCCCCAAGAGGCAGACACACAAGTACCTACTGCTCAACTATTTCAACTAGATAAAGAACATGTTATCCTTATTTCTAATGTTATCCTCAATTACAAAAATCTTCTGCAGGCCAAAGTATACGTTCTGGCGGGAACAACCTGTACAGCCGCGATTGCGTGGAAGCCGATAGTTGTTCGCCAGGTTGCCTAGCTACTGCTGAAGGGATGATATGCAGTTACTGCTGTGACGATGAGGACCTTTGCAACCGCAAAGCCATCGCAGACGAAATTGCCAGCATCCTCCACTGCTATTTTTGTGCATACAGTTCGGACCCCTCATCTGCGAACGTAAGCTCTCCAGGGTGCAACGATCCTTTCGACCCGACTGATACCAGGGTGCTTCAGCTGCCTTGCCCTGACGGAAAGTGCGGGGTGAGTGAAGAAAATCCTAAATCTGCTTTTAAATTCGTTGATACTAATCATGAAATAGAGATAACTCTAAAGTTTGTCCTCTATTTTGACATTATGCAGTTTATAATCTAACCCTTGACATCCACAGTTTTGTAAACATGAATTTTTTTTTTTATTTTTCGGATCCTCAGCGGATAGCTTTGGTGAACAATGAACAATTCTTGATATTCCCCATGCTATTTTGTAATCAACTAAAAATCTGTTGCTTACTTTTCCATCCTGAATATTCGAATTAATACAAGCATATGCTGACATCCAGCGAGCCCGTTTTTGTGAAGAAACTTTGTTCATAATTAAAATCTCAGAGAAGTACTATAATAACAGAATTCAAGCTGGAAACTCACTCAGTATAAGGTGGGGATGCATATCAGGCTGGTTCTGTTTTTCGTATTTAGCTGCTGATTGGGAAATAGGGTAAATCTAAACAAAACAAGCCGGTCCTCTGCAAGCGCAGGAAAAACATTCCTTCCATTACTAGTGGGTATTGAGGAATCATTTGTTTTCCCCATATTCCGTTCGACATTACTGTCAAGCATTTAGTTTCTGCTGTTGGTGATGAGCCTTGATACATTTTTATTCCACTCTATTGGGCCGAGAACCGTTAACAGTTTTCCTTCCAATGGTGGAAAGGTTTATGCGATGAAACGCATTGTTTTTTTCTTTTCTGGAAGGTTATAAACACCACATTTGGTGGACACACTGCCATAAACAGGCTCTGCTTCCCCAACGCCCAGGGGGGATGCACCCCCGGCTGTGACGACGCCTCTATCAACTGCAACACCTGCTGCTCTACCAACCTGTGTAACGGAGGGAGCGAGGGTGGCGTGGCGACCACACCTAGTGCAGCGCCGTCTCTAGAGCACTTCTCCCTCTTGCGTATAGTGCTGATCGGGGCTGGTCTGTGCATGGTTGTCCTGCTTTAGATATGACCTGTGGCACATTTTTACGACCGGTGTATGCAAAGGCGTTTATCTACACAGAATACCTTTAATAAAGGACTTAGTGTACCGGTACAGGAAACCTATTCAAGGCGACATACTTTAAAGCTCTGTAGAAAAGGTTGAAGCTTTTAGGACTCATGGAGCTCACATACACAGAATAATGGCTTATTCATCTCTCATTATAAATTGCTACAATGCTTCGCTTTGCCTCTAGTTTACATTTCGGTGGTATTTAATGACCAGCAATGAAGTTTGGACACCTTTAGAACCGAGACAACTTCTAACAGTTGCTGTGATTATCGAAGCTGATATATATTCTACGTCAAAGAATTTTGGCTTTATGTTAGAGGAGCTATTTTAGAAGCAAAAATCTTTGTAATAATCCGGATAGAAGTCATCGTGGAACATGAAATTAAGTGGAATCCACAGATTACAAGCTTTTAAAACAATTATTACTTTATTAAGTTTTCGTTTTGTATTGCTACAATGCTTTTGTCTCTTCTTGACATTGTGAATAATTGACAAGAGTCATTCATTTAATGACCAGCGACGAAGTTAGGACACTTGGAAACCAAGGAAACTTCCATTGCTGTGATTACTTTAGTTTAGGTGAAACATATTTACCCTAATAGAATTTTGGCTTTATTTATAGATTTCAGGAGCACAGGATCTCGTAACAATGAGGATGGAATGTATCGTGAAACTTGAGAATTAAATTAAGTGGAACACATAGGAAGAATTATTACAACTGAGCCATGCAGCCACCAAGACTTCTAAAGACGCATGAAACCATTGCAAGGGCGAATCCATTTTTTTCGGGGAGGGGGGGGAAATTGCTAGGTTACTGGTTAGATCTGACTTGCACATAAAATATTCTTAAATGAAGAGAATCTTAAACAGATTATTCTTATCACTCAGAAATTCTTTCAGACGCTCAGTCAGTAATGATATAGTATCGACTATTGATTCATTATGCGTGGGTTACTACATTTAAATGTGATCAGCGCCAATGTGGTAATGCTGGATTGTTCTGTGACAGGAGCAAATGTTCTTTAACCAGTGAACAAAATGACTAATCTCGTTTAATTAAAGTGGCATATGTGAAGCCTCTTCATTCTAATGCTAGTTGAAAGGTTACCCCTTAAGTAATTCTTACATCCATTCTCATGTTACCTTTTGTTTCTTACGGTAAACCTAATATTTTTTAGTACGTGGGCTTTTTCTTTAGTGATTCGTTTTTACAATGAAACCGAAATTGAATTGAATTGCTCAAAAGCATCTCATAATCCGTATGAACATTGCTTAGTTAAACAGCAAAATAGCAACAGTCTTTGCATAGCAAAATTACCCAGTTAACACATACTGTATTTGGGGAAACTACAAAAGATTTCTTTTTATATAATGCATTTTATTGAAACAATGTTCCCAGGAAAGTATATATTAACACACACGCCATATAGTATACGTTACACATGACGTGTCACGTAGACGCGTTCCTGCAACATCCCCACCTTTCACCCACAATGCACCGCGGTAAACACTGCATTACGTCATTATGTTGTAAGTCTATAGTTGGGACAGATTCAAATGCAATGCACCTGTTGCGCTGTTTCGAACATTAATACCCAAATTAACGTAAAGCACAGATGGTATGGAAACCTGGTGGATTAACAAAGGGAGGGGGGTACAGTCGACCGCTTCAAGCTGTCATGCCTGTGATTCCATTCATTGATCCGGTTTTCGGGTCGACCAAGCATGTCCCTTATGTTAACTGTGGTAAATTGCTCGATTTCTGAAATTTGCATTTTGATCGTGGATAGACTGCGACAGCATGACAACTCGCACAGTACTACGTCGAACCGCAACACGCTGCACCAGAACTGTCATACACATTGAATCAGCAAACTGCCATTCATAGAGGTTTATATTCGTTTAGTGGTCCGTGCCTGTCGGGTAGGAAGACCGGTCTTCCGACTTGATTTGCTAACTGTTATATGAAATGGGGGTGAGAACCAGACGAGTGAAACGTAGATTTATTCTATAGAATGAATAATGCAATCCACGTGATCAACAATCCGACAATCAGATTACGCGGATTGTGCGGGTATTGATAAATCAGGCAATTGACGAGGAGTGCAGTTTTTTTGCCACGTCGTTAGTTAGGGATGGTGTCAAGTTCTTCTTTCCGTGTACCTCGATAGCCAGATCTGGATCAGAATACCTCAAAATCTGTCAAGCTAACAAAAAACAAAACAAACGGTAGCCTACCATCTCCCTAAAGAAATTCATTTGGGCTGAGCACTTTTCACATATTGCATTAGTCTTATTGTTGATTTTCTTCATGTTATTTAATAGCATTCATTAATACTTGAGCAATTTCCCAATTGCTATTAGTCAAAACATGGAGGAGGGACACAGAAGGCGTTACAACTCTGGCACATCGAAGTGCTCAATGATCATCGCCGCCCGGTCAGACGAACAACAGTAAACATTCAAAAATGCCTGATTACTGCCTGCAGCTTAGCCGGACAAGTGGGGCCAGTAATATCTTAGCAATATTTGTTGTGTTTTCTTTGCAATTTATTACAACTTATCGCAGTACCCAGGAAATTAAAAGAAAAAATGTCTAGTAATAACATTAGATTTATTTTTGCCGTTGTGAAATTTTTTTTTACAGATTTTGATGCCCTTTTCCATTATCTGTGCATATGATTGTAATTTTAGTTTGTCACTCTAAAACATCAGTTTTCAAAGTCTTTGTACGAGTGTGGCTAAGACTGGTCAATAACACGTTAACCACCACAGGACATTTAAGTTCATGGAAAACAAAATGCGCTGTTTCATCACAAGGTCGTGAGATCTCATAAAATACTTTTTTGTGAACATTCCGAAATAAAAAGGATTCAAATAAAACTCAAAATCTTTCAAACAACTTAATTTCCAAAAGAAGTTCAGAAGAAAGCGTTAGATAAGGGCAATAACTGCACATGAAACACTTCGGGTACACAGCCTAATTAAAGCAAATGCGCAAGCATTAAAATTGACAGATCACACGAAGCACAAACGATGGCCTGAATATTCAACTTCCATTCCTGCTGTACACAACGTTTTTAGGATGCAGATTACCACGAAAAATTGATCATGATTGTTCGATGATCATGGGGTACAAAGCGGGCTAATCGTTGTGAAACAGATGGTGCGAAGCAAGCATCCGCAGCGCTATGGCTATGGACACATTGGGCATGCCTGAAAGCGGTAATTGGCCAGATGTTATAGCCCGGGCAGTTCAATTTCGAAATCCTGTGCCCTTCCTCCATGGTCAAAACGCGTCACGTGACCGCAAAACATTTGATAATGCACGCTGCGTGAAAACACACTGGCACCTAGATACAAAACAGATTAAACCATTCCTATTGGAACTCGCCACGGGATGCACCGAATCCATATAAGGAGATTCTTATGAGCTACTTGTACAAGGAAAATACAAGAAAATGGACAGGGGTGTTCAGGAAAATGAAAGTAAGATTCTTGAACAAATTCCTTACCGTTCAGTGATTTCTTTTGATTCTGACTGAATTTTGACTGAAACGGGATTTATTATTGGGAATAATTATGTGCTTGCTCAGTCTTTCCCTCGCCCCATGGCTCGCGCAATATCTGCGGATCGCGTCCTTTCTCTTGAGCTGGTCTTAGAAGGTATTCAGAAAGCCCGATGACTATTGCAATCTCTGTGGCATATTATGACTTGGTTCTAGTGCAAGTGCCGTGGGTGTCATAGTTTAATTAAAGAGAAGAGAGTTAAACCTAAGGGAAGCTGAAGGCTTACGAATGCATTTCATGCTAATTAAATTCAAATTACTTCATGCAACCGTAAAAGTTTCAAACAGAATGCAATCCAGCCATATTGAAAGGGTGTGACATGAATTACGTTTGAGCAAAAACCCAACACCCAAGTCAAGCAACCCACGCAAAAAACCAAGAGTCGTGAGAATACAAACACAACGGTTCAGGGGCAGCAGTTCTTTGAATAAACAAGATCCACACTATCCCTTACTCAACCCACATGAAAAGCTTTAAATTCTTTGCGTCAGTGAAGTTAACCAACCGTTGAGGCTGACTCACTTGTACCTTTGTCTTCACACTGCAGTACTACATGGGCATAAACACTGTCAGATGAATAACCGTCACACAAACCTACGTAGAAAATTAGAGGTCAATGATACCACAATGGTAGGATATACAAATGAATACTATTGCTCAGAATAAGGGAAAATCCTTTCACAAGACCGTGGGAACGGAACGAGAATGACTGGCTAGCTTTGAAGAGCGTTGCATGCTTGTAGTGTATTGCACGTGCGCCCAAGACAGTTGGTGTCCACGTTACTGTGGTAATACAGAAAGCAATCACACACAAAAAGTGCATGTGGAAAAAGTGGATTCATAGGGGAAAGTTAGAAAAAAGGAGATAATCTCTTCGACTTCATATCTGGGGGAACTTGTCGGAGAGTTATAACACAGCGCCCGCCGGAGCACTGTCCTCACGCTCAGCACGCTGAATCGAGATGATCGAACTCCGCTCTAGGACCTTTTCTCTTCGGATGTTAGGGGCGCCAGTGTGGACATCTTTAAGGTGCCTCTTTCTGGTGAGTTTCGTCCGCCTGTCTCAAAACGGTGTGGCACAGTCCATAACTCTAACCCGCGGGGGAAGTAATCCACCAGACGAATACTCTGAAGTATTCGCCAGCCGAGTATTGACTATTAATTGTTCCGTTTCACACCCCCGAAGCCTAAAAACGGTTAGCTGGTTAAGAGACAGTGTCCATGAGATGACAAGAAACACGGAATTGAAAACAAACGACCGTCGAGTTACAGTGGACGAGTCCTCATCCGGGAATGAGTATCGTGTGTACTCTCTACACATAGCAAATGTGACAACGGCAGATGCAGGGAAATATGCATGCGGTGTCAGGTGGGATAATCGTGCATACGTCTGGGGTTCTGTCATTGTTTCGGTGAAATATTTCCCGCTGGAGGGCCCAACATGCTCAGCGTCTGTGTCAGACACATCCCCCATGAACCAGATGGTAAGGTGTGACTCGGAAGAGGGATATCCGAGGGTGACCATCACTTGGACTGTGGAATCATCGACCGAGGAGATAAATGCTACAGTACTCGACTATCGGAAGGAAACGGAAGATGGACGAGTAAAGAGCGAGCTTCAGCTCTCCCAGCTATCGCAACCATACCTTAATCTCGTCTGCAACGTGACTAGCCCAACGTTCCCGAGCCTAAGCAAGACCTGCAACATTAGCGTCTTTGCCCCCGCGGCTGCGACCATGAGCGACTCTACCAATGCTTCACGCCAAATCAGAACAGAGGCGAATGATTCTTCAGGTAATACAGCAAGACTGGTGACTGCCTTGGCTATACCTGTGCTAGTTACATGTCTTGTCTCGGTGATCTGCCTTTGTGTCATCAAACAGAAGAGGCAAGACAGAGAATTAAGGGACTGGAGGGACAGTCCTGAAAGCAATATCGCCATGGATGCAACGAAGGATGGAAGGAGCGGAAGTGTTATCGTCCCCTACTCGGTCACCACGTTGCAACTTGACGCCAGAAGAGGAATCGCGAAATCGAGTCAGCCATTCCACGAAACCACGCACCTCGGCGGGAAGAAAATGTGCAAAGCCCGGTTGGATGTCGACGGGGGGTCTGCCACTGGTACGGAAATACCGGGACAACATCCAAAATTTCCAGATGTTCCATACTACACGGTTTCTGTGGGTGACAATGACTTCCTTGACCCTACCTACCACGGAACGGTTAACGGTAGCTTCCATATGCATTATGAGCACGTTAAGGTAGGCACTGCTAAAGACGTCCCTGCTATGAACGTGACGAATGACGCGCCAACTCGTGAAGCGCCTTATGAAGTGCAGGTAGAAGTTCCTGGAGGATCCGCCTTGAACCGCAAGGCTAACTGTGCCGGTGGAGACCTCGAAGCGCCGTACTACACGACTGTTACAGGAGACGACGACGAGCATCACTCTGTATGCCAAGAACCACACCAGAGTAACACTCATAATTACTACGAACATGTTATCACGGACATCGCCTCTAGCGGTGTTAGTGTTACGAACGTGGCAAGTAACGCACGAAACAATCCAACTGCAAGGACGGGACAACTCGATGCCACTGAATTTAAGCACACGAAACAGAATTGTGTGTCAAATGAAAGATCCAGCGAGGGGATGATCGATAACCCGTTTTATCAACCGTACGACGGAAAATCTCCGATGATTAAGAAAGAATCGGTTGTAGACAGTGTTGGGAGATCGGACCCTCAGTCGCCCAATAATCATGCGTACCTAGAAATATATTAATAATCTGGATAGAGCTTTTGATGTACACGTACTACATGTACAGTTTTTTTTCTCCGAAATGTATTTTAGAGCGTTTACTTCTTCATCATATATCACAGGTTTTCCTGCACATTTATTTTCGTCACTTTATAATTATCCCTGCGAAATTTTGCATACGAAATAAGGTAAAGTATTAAGCAGAGGACGTCATTTGCTCTTTCTGTAAACTACACTGTATTATTGTTTACTCAAGAACAGCAAGCTTTTATACTTTTTCGAGCGTAGCTCGGTGAATGTTTACCTCACGACATTAGCTTCGGTGAATGACAGCTGGACAAAGTTTTTCGAACTGTCAACTGGGAAATTATTAACCTTATTTGCTTATTTTGCATAAGTAACTAGGCTGTCTAAGGATAAGAAAAAGACACTAGGAAATATATACTTCAAATATTAGGTTTACTTGATTGTTTGCTTTAAATTGGTGGCTGTTTCTTGTACTTAATGATTCAGTTCATCATTTGTAGTTTTCCAAACAGCAACTGACAAAATCATTGTTGAAAATAACATTTGGTTTAAAGATGGTTAGGGGCCTGAACTCTTTTCTAACTGTTCATTTAAGGACCCCTTTTGGATATTCCCGTCAGTTCACTGTATTAAATTGGATTCCGCTGGGTGAGAACGTGCTCGACGATGGATTTTGGTGCGATTCGTAATGTACAGCATTCGCAGAAATAAAACTTCATCATTTCAGTTTCTGGCACTCCTGGTTAGATTTTTTAAGCACGTTTTTGCCTCAACGGAACAGATGACAAATGATGGGCTGTACGTTTAAAGCTACTGCCAACTTATTTGATGAAAAATTTCTGTGTCAAAAACGTTCGGCAGGATAACCAAAAGGAAAGCATTTTAAAAGTTGAACATGCGTACGCGTGCACGTCCTTTTCCGACAACGAGAATACCGATTGACTTTTAACCCCTGAAGGGCCGAACTCACTTTTAGACAGGAAGTTTGCCATTTGTCCTGAAAAAAAACCCAACCGTTTTATGGCATTGTGGTATCTAGTTATGCTTTCGTGGAAAAAGGTGTACACTCGAGAAATCAACACAATCAAATGTTAACACTTACTTGGTAAACCAGTGACAATAATAAAAAACACATACAGAAGGGCGACAAGTCGATGCACATGAACGTTATGAAATCGATGTCATTGTATCTCACACACATTGAGTCTAAGCAACAGCTCCCCCTCCATAGAAAGGCCAAATATTTTCACCCCTTTTGTCAGAAACCTCGGATGAAAGCACATTTTCATACATTTGGCATTTCCTTTACCAGCTATACGGAAATGTTTGACCTTGTAAAGAAGTGTACCCGCGCAGGCAGTTGCTATATGAAAGCTAGCTGGTCTAAACATAGATTATGTATCCATGCACTGGGGGATCTGTTTGTTAAGATCAGTGATCTGTTGTGTTAAATTATATGCATACGTTAGCCTTGGTTCCAAGACTTTCCTGTAGTTCATTCTGAAATTTCACCGTTAGAGGGTGATATAAGGCGGCCTAAAACTATAGTAATAATGGATTGAATTTCACATCATGTCGGTGATGACCGCTGAATTCATGCAAATGACCCCAACGTGCTTCAAGGTCACGCACGGCGCATTTCGTTACTGAAACCTCAAACTGCTCAGATTGAAGCACTCACAAAATATTTTTGATTGGGGGAAACAGGGAAGAAATTGCCGTGTCTCGAACTGCGTGTAGTGCGCAGCACAGTCACAACGAGTGAGGTCTCCGTTCGCTTTAGCATAGCAAATTTCACCGCTCTCTCTCCGTGATTGGGAATTGTTAGCATGAATGCTCATCGCGGAGCTGAAAATGGTTAGTCGTTATAAGAAAAGACCCATCAGCGAATCTTATACGGGCACTTTAAAACCACACAAACACATAATTCTAAACGGAACATTTTCAGTGTGAGGCTCAAACGAAGCCTTTGATTGGTTTCCCAAAAGTAAGAGGAACAGCTATGAATAACATAGGCCTACAATAAGTAAACAGCCGAACAAAATGAATAAGACCCTTATTCGGAATCTGAAAAGAAACCAACATTGCGTCCTCTGTGGTATGAAAAGGCCTTTGTGTATTTCTGTTTTTATGTAAAAGTGAGTCCAAACATTTCTACTGATGAGTGTCTTTACATGCATGCCAAAAAAAAAAATCACGCATAGGGCAGGTGAGTTTTTGTGAGGGGATCTGCCCCAGATTTGAGTAACGTGGTCCAAAATAACCAGGAGAAAAATACTTCTGAAATAGAAACAGCTGTAACACTCATCTTTCTGCCTTGGATAACAAACAACTCTTTTGCTTACAGATATGCAAATCAGCATTAGCCACAAAATACACCAATTTCATTTTCGACAGAACCTTGCGAGGTTGCACGCGCTTGTGGTCAAGATAGCCAAGCTTGATGTACGGCTATGATGTTTGGAATAAAAACGACTGTTCAGTTACGTTGCCAGCGTATGTATACGCTGTAGATAGACCCTAGGGATATTTCTGATTGATTCAACAAGTACAATACCAGGTACCTCGATTGTGTTTTTTGTCAGGCCCTTCCGGTGTTTTGTTGCCTCAAGGGGCCTTGTAAACTGTCTCTCCGACCGAGCCCACCACAGGTAGGTAGCAGGGCCTTGAATTACGCTTTGTGCTGTTCAAAATCAGTTAGTTGATGCATGACTGGAAAGTCTGGATGTCTGACATTTGTAACACATTGTACGCTTTGGAAATTGAGCTAAATTGATTTTTTTAGACTTTTATCTCTGAATAACTGATTTGAAAAAAAAATCAATCATTCATTAATCCTTGCCACAGTCCAACCATTTTCTTCTAGTTTCTGCTCAATTTGTAGTGGTTAAATCAAGTAATGATTCGTGTAAGAAATCTATCATCTCAATTATGATCTATGCGTACACATACACAGAGTCCAGAGGATTAATCACCATGTCACAAAAAGGGAACCCACTTATGTTCGACCCAATTTCATTGAAATACAAAAACAAAATATAACACATGTGGCCTTTTGAAACTTGTTTAAACACAAGTAATGAACTTTAGAGATATTTTGCTTATTTTATTGCTTGTTTACTTTTGCGGTTTAAGGCCAAAACGACAATACTTAGCGTGAGAATCATAATTAAATCCACATAAACATTGAATATAAACATATAAATATACGAAAATATACATCAACAGGAAAATTACAGTTAATAAAAAACAATGGCAGCAAATTGTTCAAACAAGTAAATACATGGGGGCAAATATATATATATTTTTTCTGATAAATGCCTCAGCAGTTTTGTGTGAACTTGTGCATGTTTGATTTTTCTACCGAGACTGAAACCTACCCCCCCCGGTGTTAAATTGTTGTAACAAGTGTATTTATTTGTTTTCCCCATTTGGGGGAGACCTTTCTTAAGGACTGTGTCAGGAAAAAGTAGAGCTAAACCTCCTCTCCCCCCCGCACCCCCCCTTTCAATGTTGTGAAAGGCCGTATGCACGCCGTTCCGTGCGGCACCCACATTGGGACCACCTCGGGACGAACAATTAACATTGAAAGGGGGGGGTGCGGGGATGCAGGTCCATACACTCTAGTTACAGTAGTAAACATCCAATACCGGAGGCCACTTTTTGGGTAACTCAGTTCCAATTGGTCTGCATTTTATTCATTTTCTTTGCTTTGTTTTTGGGTTTTTGTTTTTTTGTTGTTTTTTTTTCCCATTTATAAGTGGATTTTATCCCTACTTCATTTAGACCAATGGGGGGGGGGTTTGCAGAATAGGCATCATTATTGGCGAGTGCAACATTTAACAGTAATGTACGTGCAAGTGGATATGCACAAAAATGAGGTGGTAGTGGTGGTTCGGGGGGGGGTTGTTTTCTTTTTCCCCTCCATAGCCACTCTGTTCTGGGGGAAATACTCGACAAAAGGTTGCCCTCAAATTGGCCATTTTGTAGTACATTGGGTTAAATTTCACTGAGACTGACTTCAAACATTATTTCCAAACGTTAACAGTTTGTATAGCAAGTGCTATGAAATTACCAATAAATTTACCTATAGCTAAAGTTTAATGCAAATGGCCGAAGGAAGCTACATTTTCACATTAAATCCTTTACAGATATAATTAGGGGGGGTGTCACACTGTAATCTCTGCATGCATCTTTATCTTTAAGTAGTGAAATCAGTGTACATAAGTCTTGGTTATCAACAATAAATGCTTGTACAGCTGCAGAATTGGATCGNAGTGTCTACATGTATACGTGAACTTGTGCGTGTTTGATTTTTCTTCCGAGACTGAAACCTACCCCCCCGGTGTTAAATTGTTGTAACAAGTGTATTTATTTGTTTTCCCCATTTGGGGGAGACCTTTCTGAAGGACTGTGTCAGGAAAAAGTAGAGCTAAACCTCCTCTCCCCCCCCCCTTCCAATGTTGTGAAAGGCCGTATGCACGCCGTTCCGTGCGGCACCCACATTGGGACCACCTCGGGACGAACAACATTGAAAGGGGGGGTGCGGGGGGGGGGGTGCGGGGCAGGTCCATACACCCTAGTTACAGTAGTAAACATCCAATACCAGAAGCCAATTTTTGGGTAACTCAGTTCCAATTGGTCTGCATTTTATTCACTTCCTTTTGGTTTGTTTTTGGGGTTTTTTGTGTTTTTCTTTTTCCCATTTATAATTGGTTTTTTATATCTACTTCATTTAGACCAATGGGGGGGGGGATTTGCGGAATAGGCATCATTATTGGCGAGTGCAACATTTAACAGTAATGTACGTGCAAGTGAATATGCACAAAAATGAGGTGGTAGTGGTGGTTCGGGGGGGGGGGGTTGTTTTCTTTTTCCCCTCCATAGCCACTCTGTTCTGGGGGAAATACTCGACAAAAGGTTGCCCTCAAATTGGCCATTTTGTAGTACATTGGGTTAAATTTCACTGAGACTGACTTCAAACATTATTTCCAAACGTTAACAGTTTGTATAGCAAGTGCTATGAAATTACCAATAAATTTACCTATTGCTAAAGTTTAATGCAAATGGCCAAAGGAAGCTACATTTTCACATTAAATCCTTTACAGATATAATTGGGATCTCTGCATGCATCTTTATCTTTAAGTAGTGAAATCAGTGTACATAAGTCTTGGTTATCAACAATAAATGCTTGTACAGTTGCAGAATTGGATGGAATAACTATAGTCCATACAGTTATTAATGCTGCGTGACTTCATTTTCAGTTAGAATAAGTGATGCGAAGCAGCGTGCACATGGTGGAACACCTTTTTGTTCATCTTCAAGAATTTGATGGTAGAATGCGAAAACATTCCAACGCACTGACATCATCTCAGTTTCCCTCTCATCCACACTTCCACCCTGAACAAACACTAATGGATGCTTCCCGGTGCAAAAAATGGGGGTATCTTTTTCGAGAATTAAATCTTGTGCAAAGTGTGACTTGGGAGCTGGGAGGTGAACAAGCTGACCTTCCAGTAACAGAAGCAAATCGTGCCATGGTATGATTTTGGAAGTCCAACGAAAGTCGTTCAGAAATATGACTTCAGCCTTATCTGCACCGACCCATGCAAAAGTGGTAGTTGCCGGGTTGGTAAATGTCTCATAGATTTTATTAAGTGGATCGAGTAAGAAGGTTTTCCCACAGTTTGCAGGACCAGTAATCATGATGTTGCGATATTTCCCCCTACCCTGCTCTAGAAGTGTTTTAACCGCATCACCAAAGTTTCTTTTAGAAACACCGTTGTTAAGAAGAGTATCTTCAGCACATGCTAGCCACTCCCCGTTACAAACACATTTGTCATTGGCGTGTGCCCTTTGTAGAATTTGAAGACGGTTCAGTCTAGATCTCTGCAGTAGCTCTTCCGAATGTGCCAGTTCCCAGGCATCCTGAAAATACATGAAAACACAAATACATGTAATGCCCAACTGATTAGGAAAAATTCTAACCAGATAGATGGTGAGCAATGTTAGAATTATTTTATGGGCGAGGGGCTGGAGATTTAGAAAGTCCTTAACCTTGGGGGGGGGGTTGGAAATATAGACGGCCTTTAGCCGGAATTATTCGGGGGGGGTGTAAGGGCTTGAGATATAGACTGTCCTTGACGGGGGGGGGAATGCAGATGTTTAGGGCCCCTTAAGCTTATTTGGGTTTTTTTGGGGGGGGGGGATTAGGTTACATTTTTTTGGGGGGGGAGTTTGAAACCCATTACACATTTCAGGCTTACTAGAAAATTTAGAAGTCGACCTATAACGGGAAATCATTGTTCATTTGGCCTACCTTGAGCACTTGGTTGACGACTTTTTCACCTCGGTTGATGATGAATTCCGCTAAGTCGGTTTTGCCCAACACTTTTTGTTGGTGGGCGAAGGCCAAGAACTCCATACGCGTCTTGAGACCCTTAGACACGGCGAGTTCGCCCACTTCGTAGGCCGAGAGGCGGGAGCGCTTGCTTCTCTTTGCGGGTCGTTCGGCGCTGCTGTCGGGCTGGACCGCTGTGTGGCGGACAGCTGAAGCAACGGCTGTACGCGGAGGGGGCGCGGTCGATAGATCGGGATGGTCCAGCGACTGGATTGCATGTTGGTCTTCTTTCATGACGTAGTGCCACGCCGTGAAGTAGTTGTCGTGGTTACCGGAAAAGTTCACTTTTATACCGTGTCTGTACTCCAGTATGTTGCGTACTTGTAACCAGCGCCTGGCAACTTGAAGCTTAATCGCCATGTGATAGTGAAATCCCCCGTCCAAGTGACGCTCTTTGGAGCAACACCAACACACCGGTGAAGGGTGGTTTAGAGTCTGGAAAGCGGCAAGGACGAGCTCCGCAAAAGTCTCACGATTTGGCACGAGTTCCTCCTGCGCTCGACTATAAGTTATCAAGTACACTTGACGCACTTGACGAGTGCCCAGTGTCGCCGTGCCAGGTCTGTCCGACATGATGCCTATTCTGCAAATGCCCCCGAGGGTTGAATTCGTCAGTGCTTTTTATACGCTAAAGTCGAACAGCGACACAGGCATGTCCCACCTGTTGACGGTCCACCTGTGCGGCCGACTTACTTGGCGCCATGCCAAATTTCATGTTACATAACTGGGGTACATCGAGTGTCTTTACCACGAACGGTCAACAGTTCGAAAGAAATATAATAAATATGAAGCACTGAGGTTTTTTTGCCGGAGCAGTGCTCCGATTGGGAGGCTGGTGTCTCCCAAAATGGCATTGAGAAATCGGAACTGTACGCCCCTCCAAACTTTCCCAGTTTCCCTAAACGCTAACGGTCAACCCTTTAAGTAAAATAGAGAGTAGATGATTCTATCTTTCTACTTTAATTATATGGTTAATCGTCGATGAGAACAATGGTAATTCTCAGTACGTGGGACCAAACCGATAAGTAATGGTATTATGAACATTAATGATGGCGTAAAATGACTTTCACGGGTGATATTCGTTAGGTGAGGAATGGGCTGGGGTTAATTTGTCAGGGGTAAATCATGATGCCCTCCCCGGTCTACCGTTGCCGACACCGCCCATCCCCCGACCACCGCAACAATTTGACATCAAGCCCTCTAGGTCTATATAATTATAAGGGGGTGGCGAGTTGCCTTCGTTCAATGGTGACTATGTTGCGTGCCCCCGGTATACGTGCGTGTGTGTGTGTGAGAGGACTTTTTCACAACTTTGCCTGAAAGTTTAACCCCCATATTTGGGAGATGAGGATGGCATCTCCCTTTTGATGTTGGCACCATTTACATGTAACCTCAGCTTTTCCATCTTTCGTACATCAGCATTCCGGTTTGCCATTGTTGAAAGTTAAAAAAAGTGTTTCAGAGCACGGGTGGGACGTTGACACCCCCCAAAAAGAGCTGGCGTTGGACTGGCCTGCTTTACTTCCCTCCACAAGCTTATTTATAATGTGCAGAATGTATTCCACCTGCCATCGTTAATAATAAGCATCATGTTCATTGATACACAACACTCAAACCCTACCAAGACACAACGCACACTTAACTCTTTGAGGGTGCTGTACCTAGGTGATGATATCCACTTGGGTAAGGTTTAATAACTCCTTTACTGCTGTATCATAGTTGTCACAATTTCAATGGGAGCATGAAACATTAGTGAGGATGGAATGATATCTCCATATAAAGACATCGTGTGTATGCCTTGGGATACAACCATTTTTAATCTATAAATTGACATGTTTAGAAACCCCATATAGTTGTTGACAACATTGCAAATAAATATGATTTTTTGAAAGTTACAATTAATCATGATGCTTGTCGGGCTTGGGGGCTAGTAAAAATTATCCAGTGTCAGTCCTTAATCTCTTTAACCTTAACCATGTACTTGTGATGGAAAGCACACATCAAGACCATCAGCGGGTTAAGTTTCAGAAAAACACACAAGTTTGCAGCCCTGTACACTTAGAACTCTGCTGCTCCTGGCACTGCTGTGAATGTGCTCCTTCATCCATTGTTTATCATCCAGGTGGTGGAATCTTCTGAATAATTTCAAGGCAGTTGGGTTGCCTAATTCTGACTCAATTAAATGGAGTGAGCTTGACCAGCTCAGTAATCTACAAGATGTAACAGGACCCAGCGGCGGCGGAACGATTTTCAAAGGGGGGGGGCAGTTGTTAGACTGATTAATAGGCCGATCCATTAAGCCCCACCACATTATAAGCCCTGCAAAAAGTGTGGGGGCATGCCCCCAGTCGAAAAGGGGGGGGGGCACTGCCCCCCTGTCTCCCCTGCTTCCGCCGCCAGTGACAGGGTCACATAGAGTTGTTCTAGGGTTGTTTACATTTTAAAATCGGTGTGCTTTCAACCCCACACAACAGCAGGTTCCTATGGCTTTTCGTAGACTGCTTAATCATGCTAGTCATATCATTTCATCCATGAAACCACTGTTGTCTTACCATTTTAGTTTTATTTTAGTTATTTTTTCTTTTTTTAAATTTTATTTACTGATGTTTTAATTCAATTTTGTAAATGTTTCATTTTTAATTATTGTTTTCATCTATTTGTATTTTTCTTTTATTTTCAATTTCTTTATTTCATTTTGTTAAAAACATAATTTTGTTGTTATTTTCCTTGTAATTTTGCCCTGACGTCAACAGATATTGTGCCTACATCTTTGCTAACAATGATTAAAAGCTCAGGTGCATTGCTTTCAACTACTAATCGTTCTTGCGACATTATTTTGCCAGTCAAAATGTAAGCATGATCCTACCCAAGTAAGTCATTAAGTAAAAGTGCATGGTGATGTGTATTTCTTTTGACCTTCGTTACTGTAAGAGCCCTATAGAGGGATCCCAATACGACGCTTTTAGCGTCGATCTGCACACTTCCGCGTTTGAAAACGAGGCTGTATGTGTCAGCTTCAATTCTTACTACGATCAGATGATTGAAAGTAAGGAGTCAAGACACAAAATACATAAAGGTATGTTAAATTCAGACTTCTCAGACTACACATTTTTGTGGAAGAGTCTTCCAGGATGACTCGACACGTAAAATCAAAAAATAATGGCAATTTACAGTGAACTAACGTACCTGCGATGGACGTGTATCTGCATGTGCAGTGGGCGTGGTTTAAACTGAAGTGACATCACACATACGAACCGGATGCTGCATGTACTGTGTCGACTCCGCGGGTGTGCGCGAAGAGGTTCAACACAGAGAGCTTCGGTTTCGATGCGGATATGCGCAGACGGCGCTAATTAATGTGAAATCCATCTATAGTTTAGCGTCTTTTTGGTTTGCGTGCAGCGAGTTTGGATTTGGGTTGGGAATGGTTTGAGCGCCGCCGTCAGGATAAGATGGTCAATTTGGGCTGTGTTAGGTAGCAGGCTTTGGGTTTTTGTTAGGATTTGCGGTTTGGGTGAGCTTGAAGTTTGGTGAAGTGGCTGGCGCTGGATTAGGATGGGCTGGTCACCGCTGGATTAAGTTGGGTCTTGTCAACTTATGTCGGGTTCAATGAGTCATTGTTTGAATAGGCCTTTGGCTATTTTTTTCCTGGATCTGTACGATGTGTGTGATGCAGAATAAATGACAGCATTATAAGCAATGACATGGGTGACACGCTGCTTGACAGTGTTACGGCTGTTGCATTGCTGTTCCTGCCGTGTTCGATGCTAAGCATCCACATCACCAATATTCCTAAGCCTGTAGAATATTTTTTTACTTGTATTATTGAACACCAGTAACCAATATTAAGTCTGGTTTGGTCCCGCTTAAAGGCGTGCAGAGCAATAAAGCGCAATGTGGGCAAATAATACCGCGAGAGAGTTTGAAGGTTTTTAAAGCTGTTTGCAGGTTTTACAAATGGAAATTAAGGCACGATTAGGAACATTAATTAGTATCTTTCAACTGGATTAAGACGTGACGAAGATATTGGATTAACACTAAGGTTCCATTAATCTTATTATTTTCTTTCAAAACAAAGCACTGGTTTTGAATGGATTGACACGGGTACCTAAAGAAAGAAAGAATAGGAAAAAAGTTGCGCTTGTTTTTATGTGGATTCTACCAACAGGGAGTCCAGAGATCACATTCCAACTGAATTGCTCACGTCAATGGAAGGCAGGATACGATCTTACAAAACAACAGTCACCCAACGTGGTGGTGGAAAGAGGAAATGAAGTTGGAAAAAAAAAACAGGGAGATGAAATTTCACACCAAGCCCAACTTGTTTCTCACTCTGTACGGATCAGATGCGTTAGGTATATAACTCTTAATCATTTCATAGTAGTCTTAGTCAGCCACGGCAGTCTTCACCTCGAAAGCAGCACTGAAAATGTGCTTCTTTCTCTCTTTTTGATCTCCCCGGCAAACTGCAAAGTTGATGTGCGCAGAGTTTTGACCACGTGAAGGAGAGCGGGGGTAACTTGGCTCAGGCACACGATCCCGCTCCCGGTTAAAGATAGTTGTTGGCTGTCGCGCTGCAAAACAAAATAGGCCCTGGTGTAAAGATCTGAGGAAGATGGAACTCCGTTCACTAGACACGCTAGATCGACAGCAATGGGGGAGTATCAGGAGAGTTGTGCTGTGTTGCGCTCTTCTCCTCACTGCGGGTACCTGGAGTTACTGCACTGGAGTGAGTGCTATGGTGATGACAAGGGGTGACGCATATTATCCAGCCGATGAATATGTTACTGTCAACGAAGGCGAAACGCTTGCGATGCACTGTGCTGCATCGAGGAATTATTTGCAAAGCGTTTGGTGGGGGAAGCTACTTACATCCACCAACACTGACTGGCTGACGGAGGGTACCAATGTTCACACGAGTGATACCCGAGTGTTTGTTGAATCGTCGAGTATTTATTACAACTGGCAGGTTTACGACGTTTACTCCATACACATTACTCGCGTAGCCGCTTCAGATCAAGGGAGATACATATGCTATGTACGGTGGTCCAGTGGGACTTCATATGGAAACGTCTTAGTATCTGTGAATTCTTTTCCGGAAGATGATCCAGTATGCTCCGCAAGTGAAGTGGACACATCAACGGTACGCGACACCACAGTGCGCTGTGACACAGCGCTTGGGAACCCAGGAGTGAATATTACTTGGATGATCCAAGAAACGGGTGAAGAAGTGACAGGTAGTATTTGGGATTACCGGATCGATGACCAAGACCGCCGCCAAGGTGTCTTAAACTTTCGACAGCGGGTGCATCATCAAATTTTGGTTTGCACGGTGACCAGTTCTGCCTTTCCAAGCCAGAACCGCACGTGCTCCATCGGTCCCATGCCGGAGTTGTCCTCTACGGAAGGTCCAATCACAACGGAAATATTTGATGAGACAACTGTAGAAACAGACAGGTCTCATACAGTGACAACGAAGAGCAGAACAGCTGAAACCACGATTCCCCCCACCGAACTCACGGGACAGAGTATAGATTGCCAGACATTCCCTTGCAAGGATGCCAAAGTTACAGGAGTAACGATGATTCCAAGGGATCTTGAACCTCCTAATACTGTCATTTCTTCGGCCGATATTGGAACTGTGTCAGTAGCCGTGGCAGTGCCATCTTTTGTCCTTTTTCTCATTTTGTTAGTGGGCATTTTGAAACAGAGGAAACGGTTAAAGCGAAGACAGAAACAGAGCAATCGGGAACCTGGACGGAACGCTGGGGTCGTCATCCGGAACTCGGCCCCGCAAACGCTCAACACCCTCATTGAGATCCCCAGGAGAGGAGATTCAGCGTGTAACGAAATCTCCCCGCCCGGGGGAGAGTCCTGCAACTTGCCGTATGAAATGGAGCTCCATCCTGCTGGCCCATCTGCCTCGTACACAGAAGCGTCAGAACGAAATGATGTATCCAAGGGGTTCTGCGTTACATACGAGACCGTTCAAAGGGACAACAGCGACACTGACTCTGTGATCCAAGAAAGTGGCAATCTCTACGAACACGCCAACATCAGTGGTACCAGTGTGTCAAACACCAGATGTTGTGACACCGAGGACGGAGCGTTAGATGACAGTGACAAGATTAAATCTGAGGTGTCTATTTACGAGTCTGAAGGAATGGTGGATAATGTCATATATGAATCTTACGATGGATAAACTCACGCAATCTGCCCCGATTCCAGCGTTAAAACTAGTCTTATTGTTTCAACGCTTTTTAAACGTTCTCCTGGTAACACTGGATGTTGTAGATGTTGTGGTGTTGTTACTAACCCAAAGCTGAACACGATGTGGCGTAATAAGTGAATAGCGAAGTAGCTATGGCGGACATGGGGCACCCCTCCCCCTTTGTCAGGCTTTTGCCGGCCTCCCTCCTGCTCAGAAATTAGAGAAGGAAACAAATCTGCTGTCAGCCTTGATCATTGTTCCTATGTGACCGAACCCGTGTCATGAGGGCCCCCTCTAGACAATGAAGCCAAAGTTGCCCCTTCAAATCGTTTAATGGACCCCTGTTACGCCACTGAAGGTCAGATGGGGTGGGCGGATATGGTGGAATAATATTTAGGTAGTACAACAAAACGTCAATGATTTGGTTTGGATACGTGGCATGCAACAGGGGGACTCATTCAAGTGACTCTCTCTGCAAAACCCCTTGTAACCGCAGTCAACGGTTGAAATTTCAATTATTAATGCCAACGCACAATGTAAGTATGATTAGCCATGTATCAGTCAGTGAATGGGACGTGCTAGAAGCCGTACTTTATACAATATCCAAGGCCATTTCCTCAATTGTCCCTAATTTCAAAGAAGGAATGAACAATACGCCAGTTTCCTTTCACACACGGGGCATGCAGGGGAAACATATGTAAATAAACTTAAGTTTAGATAAATAAATAAATAACTATGTCTTACATATCAGTGATCTCCCAAAGAAGCAAAATTTTAAATCAAAGCTGAGGTTGAGACATGACTTCCACATATAACTGTGCAAAATAATGTCCTTAATGTCCAAAAAAACCCCCAAAATAAAACAAAACAAAAGAGGGCAACTATAAAGCCTAACAAACCAACAGGCTTCTTGCTAAAGCACCCTTGGAAACAAAAATAACACTGAAAACAGTTCCCCGTTAAGTAAAGTTTTTCTGTCAATAAAAAACAATCGTAATCCTATCCCATCTCCAATTGTAGTCTGTTCAAATGAACTACAAGTACCTGTTTCCAGCTGAATCGTGCTATGATGGATCGACGCGAGGAGAAAACTTAAGTCAATTCACCAATCTCTTGAAATATTTGTGCGTGATATGTGAATTTATTGTTTTGTATGCGAACAGATTTATTTCTATTGATGTATGGCATCCCTGTCTGTTTTTAGAATAAACCTACTGTTAAAATATCGCTTTAAATCCTGTGATGATTCACATAAATGAATCCATGTGAAAGATTTGTGAATTACGTATTATGTTGAATGTGAACGGATTTGTTGATGAATAGAATTCCTTGGATATGATTGACATAAACTTACTCTTTGAAGCTTTGTGATGAATTACAATTAACCAAACTTTATTTATTTATCCGTTTAAAGCCAAATATACTTTTCTCGAACGCAAATGATGTTTTCGTTTGAAAATTTCAACGACAATTTATTTTACGTATACGTCTCGCTACAAACCAATTTGAAAGAGTAAACTCCAGCTCCAGCCCTGGTTTGTACAGTGACCATCAACCATGTCTTCATTTCCAAGACACTAAAGGACTTGCTCAGAGGCAGATCTAGGATTGTTTTGCTGAGAGTGGGGGGGGGGGGTAGTTGTGCGTTGGGGGTTACCACATGTAGTTGTCACTGCTGGTAAAGCCGTCCAAACTCTGTTGTGTCCTTAACCGTGCACTGCACGCAAAATAAGCGGTTTTCCAACCTTTTGATGCAGGTCCTTAAAATTGTATGGGGGTGGGTTAACACCTACTCCTGGATCTACGCCAGATGCTTCATATCGATCTCTTCCTTCCTGCCACGGTTGCCACGTGACCTTACAAGAAGTGTCACAACAGACTAAAAATATCAAACATTGCAACCGTGGCATGATTTCAACTATACTAATGAATTCTACTTGCTTCATTGCGATCTCTGTGTTGGTTATTTGCATCCTAAAACGTAAAATGAACGCTAGCAAGAACCTCAAAGGCCACCCCCCCAAAAAAAAAACAAGACAAAAAACAAAAAAAGTCGGTCTTTGGTCAGCGCGCGCGTCGATTTTGAACCTGCGCGTCAAAGTTTTTTTTCCCATTTTTTTCTCAAAATTTTCAAAACAGTGCCCTCTATTTCGACCGCCTGAATATCCGCGAGTAGACTGATTCCCGTCCACAAGTCAATAAGTCGGAAAGGCAATTTGTCCAAGGAACCAGACTAATCCGTGGGCAGCTCGTACCCGTGATAGATCCGTTACGACTGCCTAATGTTGATGTCGAGCATAAACAGTAGATCGTGGGTAGGTTACAAAGTTGCAGCCAGCTGATCAACAATGGCGGGATGACGTGTGACTTGCTACTACTAGCCTTTGCTATTTGATTAAATATGCCACTCAAAGAACGAGAAATTGCAGTATTAAAAAATGCGTCTAGTGAGGCACCGTTGGATGTCAAATGCAGTCATTTTCCACTTCAAAATGCCAGCTTACCAGAAAGAAAAAGTCACTGGAAGTCTAGTCCTGTACATATTTTTTTTAATTAAGCAAGTATGACTTTTGTCAATAATTTCGTCAGTTCCTTTTTCGATAGCTAGTATTGATGGACTGCACCAAGTTACAAGTTGCAACAAACACATCGAGCAGCCATAGTACCGTTGAGCCATACGACCACCAACAGGAAAAATGAATACGCATATTCCATAGTAAAGAATTCCTAACCAGGAAATAAACACAAAATGCACTTTGGTGGAGAATGGTTAGCGGTTCGCGTAATGCATGGGTCTGACTACACTTTCCATTTTGATCTGAGGCAGTATGCAGGGACATTCATTTACAAACCTGGCAAACGCGTTACTTGTCTGTTAACTACCATTTTGGAAGACTGATAAAGACAGTTGAAAATACCTGATAGCATTTTCCCCAAGACTCTCAACCATTTTGTCTCAATAAAAACGACGTGAAGAAAGAACTGACACCAGTTTGGTAACAATTGCCATCGACATGGCACCTAAATACCCGCACATGATGGTTTTGCCTTCCGTCGAGGCTGTCTTGGTATGTTTTTTGTCAACGATGATCGCATGGAGTGCAGGCTTGGGAGACGGCACTGTGATCCTGACAAAGGACGCTCATGACCCTGCAACAGAATACGTTCAAGTTGTGGAGGGTGGAACACTAGTTCTGCATTGCTCTGTCTCGACGGCTTTATTACACGGAGTGTGGTGGGGGAAAGAGGTTGAAAACAGACGCATTTATTTAACAGGAAACTTACAGTACAACCTAAATCTGACAACAAACGATTGTGGTGTTGCTGTATCGAGGAGTGCCAACTTCACCGAAGATGAAATGAATTACTGCAGCTATCCTCTTCGGATAAATCGAGTAGACGCTTCCGATGATGGATTTTACTTCTGTTTTGCAAGATGGCGATTAAGTGCCAGTAGTCCAACCGTAACCAAAGATGCATCTGGACCTATTGAAGTATCAGTTATAAACTTTTCAAACGGCACTCCTGAGTGTGAGTTAACTCGGGATTCTGCCAGTGGAATTTGGGTGAAGTGCGAGACCGAGCACGCTCACTCCGGAGTGAAGATCACCTGGACGGTTGAGGATACGGGCCAAGTACTCTCTGTCCAGAGTGCCACGAACCGCACTGATCCCAGTGGACGACAGTGGGTCGAGAGCTCACTATCTGTCAGTCAGAAGATGCAGAATCAGGTCCTGATTTGTACGATCACGAGTCCTGCCTTTCCGGGCAGGAACCAGACCTGCTCTGTCATTCCAAGTGTAGGGACTGTCTCACCCACACAGAGTCTTGACGCCGCAAATGCCGAACTCACGGAACCCACTCTCTCAAGAGGTAGCACAGTTACGTCTACACATCAAATATCTGTGGCCCACGAAGTGCCTTCGGGGTACTTTATTGTTTGGACCCCTTGGGCAATCATTGTGGGTTTCTCATGTTTCAGTTTTTTCATTTGTCTGTTCTGCATTTTGAAACAGAAGAGACAGCAAAGGGACAGAAGGGTGGAAAGGAAACAGCTCGGGGCAACGCGGACAGCAGGAGACAGGAGCGACGGCAAAACAAACAGAAGCAACGGGGCAGATGTCTCGCACACCACCATACAAATGCTCAGCATCGGGGGCAGAGCAGTTTCGGCGCGGGGAACAAGCTTCTTGCTTGGGGAAGAAACGTGTGAGCCCTCGTATGAAAAATGCCATAGTGCTGCCGTTGGGAATTCTTGTGTGACATACGAGACAGTCCCCCTTGAGGACAGCGACACTGACTCTGTGACCCGGGAGAAACAAGAATATGACACGTTGTATCAAAAAACACTGCCTGCCCCCACTGGTCGATAAGGCGGGAAAGCGGAAGCCCAAGAAGCGAGCTGTGCAAGTCATGGTAGTTGCGTCGTGTACAAGACACTTAACCCAGGGGACAGCGACTGTGACTCTGTCACTCATAAAAACAATCATCAGTATCAAGAGCCTGACAATATCGACACTGGTGTCTTAGAAACAGGTCGTCTTGTCGACTGGGCCGCAATTAGCGACAGTGGCAATCCTGAAGACAAGGTAAATAGTTTGCCGAGTGATGAATCTGGCAAAGGGATGGTGGATAATCCAGTATACGGACCGTACGTCGAGAAATCTAGCAAATACTAAAATAATGGTCCAAAGCTTAAAAAAAAATTAGGTAGGAATTTGGTCGTGGGTAGCCTAGACATTACTGTAGAAGGGTTCGACTACCGATGAAATGAGCAGCCTGGACCGATTAGTAGCACAGTGTTAACTAACCCTTGTACAATTGACTTCAGTAGTTCTTTCCCATCTGTTTAGTATTGTTTCTAGTTCAGATCTCGATGATGTTCCTTGTAATCTTTACCCCTGTTGCTTATTTGCAACGAGAATGGTTGAATACCACAAAGCCTGTCTCTAATAAAGTAATTTTTAGTTCGTCTGATGTTTGTAATAATACTTCGGAGTCAAGTCAACCCAGTATCACACACAGGTGTCCTGCGTGATCTTGTCTTGTTTGTGAGGTGGAAATTTTAATGGAATGAGGTGAAGGTCACCAACGTCTAAAACTAGAATACAGCGTAAAACACTTAAATTTTGCCAAATATGGTTCCTTTTCTGAACGCGAACTTCATGCCAGTTCACTTCAGCCTTCATTTGGGAGTTTCTGTATTAAGCTTGCAATCGGTAAAATGCATAATTGCGCAATGCCTAAATCAACTCTGGTACATATACTAAATTGTTTTCAGTCTTTATAAATCTGTTTTTTTTAACTGCAGTTGTTTATAATGTAGTTTTAGTGTTTTTACTATTTTTTTCACTCCAAGTCATCTGTCACCTTCCGTCATTGTAGTCAGGATGGCATGATCAAATGTCTATTTTTCTCTAGAATATTTCAACTACTACGGAATTGATCACGCTTCAGAGGAAACGTGGGCGTGTTGTTACTCAGTAAATGTTCGCTTGTGAGTTTTCTCTGTAAAACAACCCGAAAACTCTCTTATTGAATTGTTTGCCTGTTGCTATCGCCAAGTCATGACTTTTCTATTAAGAAAAATCTTCCCTCCCAAAATACGCAAGATGACATAACAGATTAACTCCAGTTGAATATTGTTGTGGTTTTAGTTGATTATTTGATCGTTTTGTAATTCATAGCAGGTAGAATCAAACGAAACAAGGTGTTGACATACACAATATTGTTGACCATTTTAAGGAAAATATCGTCTGAACTCTTCAATGACTGTTTGTAGCTTAATATCCATGTGTTTTACAAATATAAAGGGTGTTTCTCTGACGCCAAGAAGTACCAACCATCGGATAACAACGCGGACAAAAATATTTCGCAATCCTGGTATACATCAAGTCGAAAAGAGTGTTGTAAATGTTTGTAAAATGTTTTTGTGTATTATATGGTTTTGTCTAGACTAAAAACAGGAATGCACCCCGCTGTGGGATTTTATAGTGTGTACTCACTCGACTCAAATTTTTGATCATAGGACTAGTAGAACAAGTTTAGTTCAGTTAGCATATGTGAAATTCCGCCGATGCTTTATAACGACATCGTGCTAGGTTGTGTAGAGTAGCTGCAATAGGCCTTCTATCATTAGGATGTGGTAGACGCCTCGTACCATCGTGTATATAGCAAGCTCCAATAGACCAATTGCGCCCGCAAGGTCACGTAACTTAAAGTGGGTATTATATATCAACAAGCATATACCGGGCAAGATATGGGACACAGACTAGTTCTGACGAAAAGCATTTCTGTTCAACAGTTCGTTTGTAAATGATGACGATGGAACATTTAATTCAATGCTGTCATTCTTTACAATGTAACCAAACACGTTACATTACTTAAGTACTGAATATACCTAGTCATTAAATTGAGTAACATGACATAAAATAGGATTATACATTTGACAAATTAGATGACAACATTTAGGTTGAAGTTAGACAAAACAACCATACAATCTAACATAGGACAGACAAAATGACGAACAAGATAGAACAAACAAGTGTGAAACGACGTCGCATTAATAGAACACATAAATAAATATGATTTAGGAATATAAGCCGTGCAACTGGGTTTTTAGTTTTCTAACAAACACAGATAAAGAAGTAAATAATTTGAGAGAATCAACTACACCATTTCAGTACAAGATATCTTAATGAATAACATCGTTCTTAGCCAATGACGTTCTATTAAATTAGACATACCAATTTCCCCTCACACTGCTTCGAGTATTATAATTATGAATGCTAGATGCTAAAGTAAAACTAGAATTAAACTTGAAAAGGAGTAGATTGTGCATAAGTTTGTACATGAATTTTCTCAGATTAAGTTCGTACAAATGGTTACATTGGTTACAATAGGTTTAATTCAGCAAACAAAGGAGCAGAATGATCACGATAGGCAGCATTCAAAATGATGCGGACCGCTCGTTTCTGTAAAGTGAGCAATTTGTTATATTTGGATGTCATGCAGCCCCAAGTTAAAATGGCATAATTTAAATATGGTTATATGAAAGAATTATACAATGTTAATTAAATCTTACTCGGAAGATAATATCTCAAAATATGGAGGGCCTAACGTTTCGATCCTAGCAGAATCTTTCTCAAAGGCAAAATGACAATTAAGTGGACAGGACAAACAAGCAAATGGACAATCAACCAAGCATGGATGAATGCAAGAGGATAAAAGGAAAGGTCAAGGAGGCTGCAGGCTGGATAAAGGGGCAAAGGATAAAGGCTACTGCATGAAAGGCATGGTTGAACAACAAAGGCATATCTTAGACGGTTCATGATACCAATACTCTTGGATATTTTTTCTCTTGTTGATCAATATGACATTTCCATGTAAGGTTTCCATCAATGATTATACCAAACAAATTAGTATCTTTAACCTGCCTTAATATCGTATTATTTAATAAAGATGGAGCAGTTAGCGGGTACTTGTATTGACTTGTACACAAAAAATAATATAATGTGATTTAAGGGGATTGATACATAATTTGTTACCTAAGAGACATGAACTGATTTTTGTAATCTCCAGGTTTAGGTTTTGAGTAGCTTCGTTTATATTAGTGTGAGAATACAACCAACTCGTACCATCAGCAAATAAACGGAATGTCATACAATCTGAGGTATTACATATGCCGTTGATATAGAAGAGTAAAATTGTATCTAGAGTGAAGGCCGTGGCATGGATGAAAAATCAAGAGTGGTCACCCGAAATTTGGTTTATGCACTTTGTTTGATTGCTCGGTCTAATGTCGTCTATTAAGGAAGACTTATAAACATACAGAATTACCCAATACACCTGTTCAAACCATTTAAGGGAACCGAGTTATTTGTCCCCAATGCATGCAATGTGACAGTGGAGACTGATTTGTTTAATGCTGTGCATCACCTGTTACTGGACTGGTGAACAAACTCGTGTCCGTCGTACAAATCGACTCGTATGTGAGGTGTAATAAGCTGGATTACAAATCCCAGTGGCATGAAAAATACCGGCAACCCCAAAAATTAACCACGACCAAAAAATAATATAGCCCGCATATAAACACTGCAAAAAGACAAGTATTGCTTCCCTTTCAGTCCACAAAGTTGGAGTTAAGCAACCATGCCATTTGGAAAACTCCTAATTCCTCAAAACTCCAGTAATAACAAACAGTGGACAGCTGAGGGGTCAATAACAGGAAAAACAATACTCGTATGCAACTCTACCAGGATCCTGGTTTTGGTCTAAATTTCTGTCCGACTAGTGGCTAGGGACAAGAGTTCCGCGAAAGGGTTCCTGGGTCACCATTTCCAGTCCAGTAACCGTAATACGGGTGAAAACTGTCATATGATGCGCGATATGCGGAAAAGGGGGATCCCTGTATTGTTTCTTCTTTTTTGTTGGTGAAATCTTTGGAATTCCTTTCAGATTTCCGAGGGGGGTACAGTAGGTACAATAGCCTAAGAGTATATAGTCTTGGTTTCAAGACGTTAGTGCTTGAGAGCAGACACCGTGCATTGTGCGCCCCCTAACGACTCATAATTAGACCGTGCGCCAGCTCGAATTAACGTCTTGGGAATCCTGCAGCAGCGTTTTAACTTGTACTTTATTTTTTCCTCAGCTTTCCAAGGGAACCAATCAGCACAAGCTAAATTGTATGCATAATAAATTTCGATGACCTCAATAATACACCATGGTAAGGTCACATGCACCATGAGTCCCGTCAACACAGACACGACAACACAGACGTTCGTACAGAGTTAGCACGGAGTAGAACAGGTGATACTCAGACTAGCTTAGGCCTAGGTTATGACAGAGGATGCTATTCCTGGTGACCCATAATCATGTCCAGTCAGTATGCCCTCCCCAGCTAACTAGAGCATCATTAGAGACCATGTAGACCTTAACCTTGGAGGACGGAGTACCCGGACTGCAAAGGTGTTCAGGCTGCACTGAAAAAGGATGTTCCACATGTCCTCTTTCATTTTCCTTTCAATTTTTCGGGTGGTTGACCAATGAATTTTTGAGAAATTTTCACCAGAAGTAGACCAACCTTAAAATGCAGAAAATGTCCCTGCCCAGAAAAGTAGCCATTTTGAAAACCTTCCCTTCGGCAAAATGGCTCAAATGGTGCCACTTTCAAACCCGATTGCATCCAAATTGCTCAGAATTGGAAGCCCCGAGTCAGGCCCAGAGGTATAGTCTCATATTTCTTCAATTCCTCAGTTCCATGGCTCTCAGGACCCTCTAATATAGAATATTTTGAGTGTATAACTTTTATCAATGAGCTCGGCAGACTTATTTCTGGCGTAAATACGAGGGTGCACCCGTAACGGCTTGATTAAATCCAATCAACAGACTCGCAACCAATAATACGCTGGTGACCAATCAACGGGCCTGAAATCCCCACGGGACAGGAGATCCAGTCCACAGAAAACCAAAACCTGAGAGCAAACATTCAAAAGTCATAGATACACAATAATAACAACAATCAGATTTTACCTATGCAGGAAGCATTTAAAATGATTCAGTTGTGCATGGCTCATTCTATGGTTTCCTAAAGCCTCAATGAAGCAGTTAACATGTATTTACACTTAAATCAGGCTGCAGAACGGGTTCTTACACTTCGACTAACAACAAAAAGTAAAAAACAAAAACAATAAAAAACCCCCAAAACATTATAGTTTGACGGTCAAATTACTGGATTTTCAATCTAAATCTAGCCTTTAATTTACAAGAAATGTAAATACAGGAGAGGCATTTCACTGAGCTACAACACACATTCACACACGCAGCCATGTACACGTACACGTCCCTGTACTATTGAACTGTTAACCGTTAATGTAAATTTCACTTGCAAGAAAATTGGCACATTCATACTCCATAAAAGCATACGCCCCAGCATAAAAATGTGTGAGTAAACCCCTTTAATTAAAATATCGATATTTTATTTGAGACCACTTTACTTACGATACCCCCAGCATTATACAA